CTAACAAACATTCATCCATTCATCTAAACTTTTGCATTTAAATCATTATTATGATGTACTTTTGTATGCATGATATTTCTCTTGACTTTACAAAAAACCATGCTGAATTTTTAGTGCTTTTAAATTACTCTTCTAATGGTTCAATTATATTTACTTACTATCTTAGTAATCTATACTAAAATTATAAAGAGGAAAGATTTGCATTTTTGTATGTATTGAAATAACTCAAAAACTCAGTAGTTTTTGAGTCCTAGTGGACGATTTCAAAAATTATTTTACCATTAAAAAGCTAGGTTATCACTCAGTAACATAGGCTACATTTTTTATTATTTATTTTTTAAATTGACGTGGACTAAGTCGCGAGCAACAGCTAGTTTCATATAAAATACATGCCTAATAAAAATCTAGCGCGTAATTAAGCTACTGCAAATCCCATAACAATACTTAAATCAACCCAGAAGCAATTGGATAAAGCAATGCGGTATTTCCCAAGAGGAATATGCAACACTACTTGCATTTCAAATATTTAGTAGTTTCTTATCCTTATTGTTTAGTATGCATTAAAAAACTGTAGTTAGCACCTTTTCCTTGCATTCCTTGTTTCCTTTTCCTGAATATAAAAAAAACACGGTAATAGATGCCGCATAATTAAGCGATTCGTACGCTCCATTGAGTCCCTTCGCTGGATAGATAACAGACAGACAGGCGTCTATTTCTCGGATGAGTTTCCGATAATCGATGGGAAGGAACACATCAGGCGTTTAGACATTTACAGATCTTCAGTATACCCTAATCATTAGGTAATGGATTGTTACTAATATCGTGGTTAGTTTTTAACCGACAGGGAGATGCTAAGAAGATGTAAGTGGGTAAGGTTGTCCGATTCTGAAATAGTGTCCTAAAAAATTTTAATGCGTCAGTCGAGATTCTTGATACTTGGCTAATGCCAACCGTCAACCCGCCGTCCCACGTGGAGACATGAGAAAAAATAAAATCGAATAAAGACTTATTTTATTTCATAACGGTTCCATCTGTTTGTTACCTTATTAGTGATAGTGGGATTGAAAGGTGGGACGGATGAAACTTTATATTCTCACGAAGGGTCAGTGCGGGGTGGCGGTTGGGAACAATCCCATTCTTTTAATCTTTGAGGTGTTTCGTTCTGTTTTTAATAAATGCTAGCTGTTGCTCGCGAATTCGCCCGCGACAAATAAAAAATAATTAAAAAGGCGACCTATGTTAATCATTTATATCGTAGCTTTTTAATGGTGAAAGAATTTTTGTTATCGCCTTAATAATTGAGTTATCCCAATACATACAAAAATACATATCTTTCCTTTTAATACTATCATAATAGATAGTATAGATTTGCTGAATTACTCTTATGGTAGATGCAAATTGTATAATATTTGTTTTACCTTAGTGGCTCTTGAGACAAATAGTGAATGAGGAATATTTAATAAGTCTTTGGTCCACAAAAAGGTTCACTATCATGAATAACGTAATGTAATGAGAGAATGATAACTTTCCTTTTAGTCTTCCGGAACTGTTTTATTTACATGTTATTGATTTATCAAATCTTTATTTGAATTAGTTTAACATGAACCTCCGAATGACAGTTTTCTTAATTCAATTTTTTTAAGACGCTATCCTCAATCAAACATTCTTGTTAACCGCATTTCAGTGACGCATGACCCTATGCCGTTTGGTTAAAAACCTTCTATTTCTATACATTAAATTGGACAACATGACATTATGTACAACTAGCTGTTCCCGTACGGCTTCATCCGCATGAAATTATAAAAACTTTATTTTATTGTTTAATCAAATTCTCATTTGCAAATGTCAAAATTACCGTTACCATAATAACCTTTCGTTCCTTAATGTTGGCAGCTTGTAGTTTATGGTCCCTTTCCCACATCAAGGTTTTTTACTAATATATCTACCTCCTTAGTTTAATAGCATGAAAATAAATAGCCTAAAGCGTGACGTAAGTGTAGGGCTTTTTAAAAATAAGAGAATTATGTCCTCGCCACAAAGTACCCACTACTTTGTGGTGTAGGATGTCAGCAATTACATCATATTTTTGAATAATTCTCTTATTTATAAAAAGCCCTACACTTACGTCACGCTTTAGGCTATATATTTCACGCCATTGAACTTAGTGGGTAAATATTTTGGATAAAAACCGTAATGTGGGAAAGAGACCATAAGTTGCTGCCAACATCAAGGAAGCAAGGTTGCCATGGTTTGTCATAATGTGATGTCATTTTGAATTAATAATTTGACATATGTAAACAACAAAATAGATTTTTCATAATTTGTTTACGCGTTACGCGTTAACGTTACGCTTTATTATATTAGTATAGATAGATATAGATTACCCAATACTTATAGTGTTTTATACCAAAACATAGTTCTTATATGTTTGTGAGTCGACTAATGAATTTACCGTTCATTGCTCTCGACTAATATACAATAAATAACATTATGTAATAAACATCCGCGTATCTCAGGGGATTCACTCAAGATTACTTCCTCTGTCCTCTTGTATCCAATTTATTTGATATACCAGCTTTGTTATATTAAAATAATTCAACTACATAGTACTTTAGATATTAATATTATCTTACTTAATCAATGTGAACTATGTTGGTGTCGACATATAAAGTAACATATGAAATTACAGGTAAGCAGCTGTTTTTTGCGATAAAAATCGCGTAAACTTTTTCCTTTTTCAGACCAAAACAAGTTTGAATAAATCGCGAAACCCGGTATTAGTTACTTTTACGTCAATTTTTAAATAATTCTGCTGAAGGAATACAAATTTTATTCTACTATTTTTCTAGCAAATTGTTCTTAGGTGTTAGAAGACGCTGACGTGATTGGCAAAGGCGCCCTATTCGTCTGTGACTTACGATCGCAATTTATAGATAATGGCAATTTCGTTCCATAATGTATAAGGGGCAAATTGCTATTATAGAAATTTTCTATTAGCATTTTCCGTAATGTAACATACTTTTAAGATTTTTGAACTTTCACGTTGTGAGCAAATGCAATTTTTCATCAGGCGCTTTTGTCATTTATTTTACAAGTATAAAAACCTTTGATAATAATCGTAAATCTTACTAATATTATACATGCGAAAGTTTAGATGGATGAAAGTTTGTAAGAGTATGTAGCCTAAACAGCTTAACGGATCTCGATGAAATTTCGCATGATGACTGATAATCTGAAAGAACACATAGGTTACTTTTGCTTTTTTTAATGCCACCCAGACGGAGTCGCGGGCGAAATCTAGTATTTTTATAAATAAAATAAGAATCAAAATTGTCATTTAATTTACCGAAAGTATCGTTAGATATTCATTAGGATATTGCATTATGTTTTATTTGTTAACCACAAAGTAGGTTAGCTATCTCATCATTAATTATGTTCAATTTGAATGCAAACAAACGAAGTGGCCAGTCACGCTAATTATTCATTAAGCTTTCGCTCTGAAAGATTCCACTCGCATCTACATTTACAGTGCTTATTTACAGAATTCTTAATACCTTTAAGGACCTAAAAGGTCGCTACATAATAAAACCTGCCACAGATACACAAAACAACCATAAACTTCTTCCTACTTGTATGTGTGTATAATTTAAAAACAAAGACAAAAGATATAGGTTTTCGCGGTTGAAATTAATCATGTTTTATAAATTATTTTCCTTGTAAAATTATAATTATTTAACATCGTATTACATTTCGTGACCGTTTTCATTATGTGCGGATTATCCTTTCCCAGTGGTTATTGCGAGTTTCACAACAAACAAAACAATAAAACTTATTAGTTTCTTTAACCATTGGACACTTGTTCGACTGCTGGCAACCACATATGGGCACATGGGCACATGTAGAGAAAAAAGCTCAGTGTTAGCGTAATACAGATCTAGCGTAGCGAATAGTCTTTGTGTGACTATAACGCCTCCCCCCCTCTTAAATATGGTAAAAAGGGGGTGCCTTAGAATCTCGACTATGTATTTGTCTAATATATAGGAATTTTATAAGTTACTCTTCTTGGAGGTAAAGATTAATAACCAAATAATACCAAAAACCGTTCTCAATTAACTATTAATGAACTATCAATCACATGATCTTTACGACTTAGTGTAAACAGCAAGCAAATGTTTCATATTTTACTTCGAACGACATGATTTAAACGTCTCTATTATATTTTACGACTCATTTTCTAACTGTTACGCTTGAATAAATCAAATGACATAAAAAATTTACGCCCTCATAAAATATGTAACATCGTTGAAAGTTGCTCTTTTTCAATGCAAGGGTTTAAATAATACAATTTATCATGTGAACTTCAAGAACAATTCAAAGTCAAGGGAATGTGCTTTCGAGTATTAGACTGTGGTAAAGAGGTAACCGCAGTATGAACCGCTTTATGAACTTCAAGATATTCTAGCGATGAAAACAGAAGCATATTTGCACAAAATTAAATATGTTTTGGCACTCTTTTGTTTTCTCGCCTACCCGTCCATTCACAAGTGGCATTGTTTATATAAAATACTGTACAATATTTCAACCTTTAAGATTTTGGCAGTGCGCCATATGGTTGTTACTACTGGTAAAATAATTGCATCATAGCTTAAAGTAAAATATGCAAATAATACACTATTATATCATGGTGCGCTGCTTTACGCGTTAAGTTCATTTATTTATTGCGTAAAATATGATATACTATAACAATAATACAGCCTCCGATTTCATGACTTTTGGAATGCCATGAAAAACTATTTAGTGATCACTTGACCAAAAACCTTGTATCGATGGCGAATAAATTTAAAAATGGTGACATTATACGTTTCTTTACAAGCACAGCACAGATTATCTCGTGTCATTCATTTATTTGTTTATTTGTAGTAAAAGGGGCTTATTTTCAAGTGTTTTTAAATTACGTGTATTATTTTGTTTCAAACATAATTGAAATTAAAGAATCAAATCAAAGTAATAATTACCATAAGCAAGATCCAAGATCCTCGATTATGTTACGAAACGGAACGTTGTGTAATTTGAAAATATATGTCAAATCAACTTGAAATCAACCGCCATTTAAACTAGCAAACTGCTTTTAATTTTTAATATAATTTGTGTTTGATTATTTTTAATTTAGTTTATGCGATGTAAATAATTTCGGTTTTAAAACAACTATGACCTTGTGCAAATTTTGAAAATAGTAAGTCGAATAATAAACTTACTTGCCGTAGTTCAGGTAAGAACTAATACAAAATCTATTTGTTTTGATTAGTTAAATTTACAGATCTTCTACTAAAAATGAATTTAACAAAACTTAAATAAGAATAAGAATATCTTAAGTGCTTTAACAATATTTTGAACAGCAAATCTGTTAATGCCATCATTTCAGCTCAGACAATGCATAGATCAAGAATACCGTCTCCCGCCCGCTCTGAGGGTTCTAAAGTTACACCAAGGAGACATAGATTTAGAGCTTCACGTAGCGTGTGTTCGCCTGCTCGTTCCGATGTCTCTGTAAAACTATCATCTATTGTACAAATGCGCGCAATGCAGTCACCTGCAGTATCTCCTCTCAGGACTCGGAGATCAATTCTTTCCGATAACACTGATATTGAGGTTCCTGGACGTAAGTAAAATTGTATAATAACTTTTTATTTCATTAATATTACTGCTTGTTACTCTTAAGTAGTTAGTCCAGAGTAAATAAACTATAGATTAATGTTGAAACTAAATGTAACTAAGCCAATTAATGTGTTGCACATTAAAAATAAATTAGCCTTAAGCCATCTAGATGTCCATGTTCTTAATTTGAATTGCCAAGTTAATTTTTAACATTTCACAGGCCAAAGTTGGTGGAAAAGATTAGAGGATAACTCGAGAGATGTAATGGAAGTGTTGGAAACTAAAACAACAGATCAACCTGAAAATATAGAGGAATTCATTGAAGCTGATTTTAAAAGGTAAATTTTTAGCTTTTACAAAGAAAAAAAAAATAAAAACAAACTTTCTACTATATAAACAAATAATTATTAAATGACATGACATGGTCATTCATTGAAATACTGCATTAACTATATTTCTATTAAATTATGTATTATGTTCCTCAGAATTTTGAAAATAAGAATTTATTTTGTTGAAATTATTTTGTTGGTACTCGACCCCTACATATTCCAAAAATAGATAGATTTTGATGAAACTTTTGATAGACTATTCTGGATGTGACATATTAAATAATAATGTACTTATTATTTCAAATCAATAAATGTATTTGTTTATTATAACTTAATTTACACTTTTGACATTGTTTTGACCTTGGTGTTCTCTTGATACCTTTTTTTCAAATAAAACTTAAAAGAAAGCTTATTTTAAATGGCAGTCTCTAAGATGGTTGCAGAATAATGAACACCAATGCTTATTGGAGGCGAGTTACTTCCAACAATGGCAATGTTTAAATGAGACTTATATTAAGATGGACATTTAACACTTTCAAGTAATTTCCGAATGCATATTCGGAAATTCATATAATGTTATCATTATTATTCATTTTAACTGGAATTTTTCAATCCTTTGCAGTCAGGAAAATGACTACACAGTAGACTTGCCTGAAAGCAGTGATGGTGAATCAATAAACAGTATAATTCTACCACAAAGGAAGTTTTTTAGTCAAAAGCAAACACAATCAAATAAATTATTCAATAAAATTATAGAAAACAGAGAAAATTTGACACATCGTAAGAGTAAAGCGAACACAGATAATACAATATTTGTTGGTAAAAAGAGTTTTTTTAGCAAAGATACAGTGGAAAGAAGAAGTAGACCAACATTCCCACCGGGATTACTAAACATGACAGATAAGACTTTAGTAAATAAAACTCAAGATATTACAAAGCATGAACAAGTTAGAAATCTTTTAGGTAACCGTGCAGGCACTAAACGCAAAAATATGTTTGCTGATTTCATAATGTCAGAAAGTGAAGAAGAAATCCCTGATATTCAACCAAACGTTCTTGGATTCACGAAAAGTAAACAGCCACAACGTAAAATGTCATCACAGGGTATCCGAAATTCACCAAGATCTAATGAAACTGATTTAGAATTTGATGAATGGCAACAATTACCATCATCAACAATGGTTGACAATGAATTTGGTGATATAGAAAGTTCTCCAGTTAAAAGACCTAGATTAAGTAAGCCGGATAGTGTTATAGAAGAAGTAAGGGGAAATGTTAGAAACAAAATTGACAAAACAAAGCTAACACTAATTATGTCTCATAATCTAGATGATAATGATTTTAATGAATCTGATAAGAGAGTTCCAAAAAAGACACATGAAAAAACCCTTACACAAATACCTGATACAGATGCAAGGCCATTTACAGAAGTAATTCAAGTTGATAGTGATGATGAGAACAATTTTACTTTAAGATATGATAATGATAAGAATATGCAAAATGATGAAATTGACGTAACTGTAAAAGAGCTTGAAAAAAACAATACAAATACCAGTAAAAATTCGAACACAACGGTAACTAATGAAAAAGTATTAAAAACCCGAAGCTCTCTGAAGGAGAAAAGTGTTAATAAAAGTATTACAGTTGAATTGAGAGATGCGATTGATGGAACTAAGACAATAAATATAGATCAAGACAAAAACGTCTCATGGAAAATACTTAAAACGCATAAAGAACAACACGCAGTGATAAATACTAAAGAAGATCTAGTTGAAAAAGATGCGAGCAACATTAATACTTCAGCACCGACAACACATAAAGACGATCGTAAAATAAACATTGAAAAGGAAAACATTAGTATTAACAAAGAAAAAACTACTTGCGAAACAGAGGTCAACAAACATACAACAATTAATACACCACAAGGAGAAGCAATACTTGAAATAGATCAAAATGACGAGGTTTTACAAGATAAAGAAATGTCTAAGAATATAGATAACTCACTAAACGAAGTTAAAATTCAACAAGATAAAAATAAAATTGTTGAGAATGTCGATAATCAAATCACAGATGACATCAATAATATAGACCCTAATAAAGAAAAAACACTCACTCATATTAGTCAAGAAGAAAATAATGATATGCAAAATGTAGAAGATGCTAAACTAAAAGAAACCGTGCAAGAAACCCGAAATTCTACGATAAATACGTCAAATCGTGAAGAAAATCGAGAACGTACTAAGAATAGAGAAAAAGTAGACAATATTAGTATCAAGGAAATAAATGATAAAACAAAAGAAATTTGTAAAGAAGCTCAAGAAATCGCAATACCTTCTGTGAATGAGGACATAGATCAAGCAGATGAGCATAACAAAGAAAAGGAGACAGTAAATGTAGAGGAGAACAATCCGGCATATAATGAAACGATAAATAAAAGTCTAGCATCCGAAAAGCAAGCTACTTTCAATGAAAACCTGTCCAATGAGGCAATTCATCAAGAAGAGAATATTACAGAAGATAATGAAATGTCAAACAAAAGTCTATCGGAAAAACAAGCTTCTTTAAATGAAAATATCCTGACAGATGATGAACAGAATGTCACAGAAGATAATGATATGATAAATGAAAGTAAAGAGAAAACTAACCAAATGACATCTGTTGATGAAAGTAATATGACAGAGGATAAAGATAATGACAATCAAGAAGATGGAGCAGAAGAGAGTGAACAAAATGAAACTGATCAGGCTGGAGTATCCTCAATGGATGTGAATAACGAGACCGATGATGAGAATCCTAAAGAAAGTGATGAAGATAGTGATGGAGATGATGCTGATGAAAATGAAATAACAGAAGAGAATGCGGAAATTGGTGACGAACTTGAAATATCTTCTATAAATAAGAGCAATGAAGAACAGAATGAAAGCGATGAAGGGATCAGTGATCGTATCGGAATGCCTTCTATGAATATTGACTCAGATGAAGATAACGAGAATAATGAAGATATGAGTGCAGAACAAGAAATAAACGATAGCAATGCTAAAACTGACAACCAAGTTACATTTTCTAAAGGTAAGAAAACATATTTGTTAAATTTTTTACACAAATAATATACACTTCAAATCGTAGAATTCAGTTTGCATTTAAAAGTTTTTCAAATTAAAAAAAAACAACTTAGGATCTTTTAAGTGATTAAAACACGCCGACGGAGTCGCGGGCGAAATCTAGTAATATTATAAATGGGAGAGTTTAAACGGATTTATCTTAGAGTTTACCTCCTAAACTGTTGAAGAGATCTTGACGAAAGTCAAAAATAGGGGATAGTTTGGAAGAACATAGACTACTCACTTTTTTTTTTAATTCCACGCGGACAGCTAGTAACTAAAGCCAGTAAGCTAGTAAATAATTATCCAGGTCGTATATACTTGACCAATGTGACCGGGGAGTCGACGCACTCTTACGCTGAAGCCGCAGATTCCGAGCCCGAAGAGACACAGTCGCGGCTCGCGCTCGAGGAATATCTTATGAAGATCAAAAATGATAATATTGAAAAAAGACGGAAAGTGGTAAGCTAAAAAACTTTATTGTAATATAACTAATGTAATAAATGCGAAAGTTTAGATGGATAGATGCTTATTAGGTATCTCAATAGGACTTGATGATTTTTTCTCAAATTTAAAATAAAGTCTGGAAGAACTCATGTTATTCACGAAGTTTATTGATTAAGAGTAAACGGAGTCGCGGGCAATAGCTGGTTTATTGTTTTTAGTATGCTTTTTAGATAACAAAAATTATATTTTTTTATGAAATTTTCCCATTGTTTTGTATAGAGCGTACTTTTCTTTAATAATTTAGCTTCTTTCAAATATTGTATATATTTTTGTATACATTATAGTTTTTGCAGGAAATTAATACAATATTTTTTTATTCTTTTATCTTTTCTATCATATATTATAGGAAGAAGAGGTCAGAAACTCATTGAAGACAACATCAAGGGAGCCATTTAACAATTTCAAGGCGCCCGCTCGCGTAAAACCAATAAAAACTCAGCAACGCAACAACGTACAACAGAAGACCAAATCAAAAAAGATGCCTTCTCTGTTAAATATAGAGAATTTACCTCCGGAGCTGTTAGACGATATGAAATACAAACCTCCTCGCAGATATCAGCCGAAAAATGCAGCCTGGATCACTAAGAGGCTATACAAATATCTTGAAACTAAACTGGAACCCAAGTAAGTTGCTATGCAATGTTTTAATGGATTTTTGTGAGTATAGGAATAACTCAAAAACTACTGGGTCAATTTCAAAAATTCTTTCATCATTAAAAAGCTACATGACCACTGAATAAAATGGGATATATTTTTTTAATTTCACGTGGACGAAGTCGTGGACAACAGCTAGTCTATACCTCCATTTATTCTTTTATTCTATTTTAATAAAGCGTAAACACATACAACTTTGTTGCGTAGAATGTCAGTAATCACAGTATATTTTTTAATAATTTTTCTCTTTAATAAAAGCCCTACACTAACGACACGCTTTAGGCTATATATTTCCACGCTATTAAACTTAGGGGGTAAATAAATTGAAAAACAAAACCTTCATGTGGGAAAGGGACCATAAATGCAACCTGCCAACATTAAGGATGCAAGGTTTTTATGGTAACAGTAATTATGACATTTGCAATTGAGAATTTGACAAATGTAGACAATTTTTTTTAAATATGCACGGGAACAGATAAGAGTGAGTTTAATATGTTGATAGATACGACTACAAGGCGCGCGTGAAGGCGGAGAGTGTGGTAGAGTTGCTGTACGAGTTCAGCAAGGAGGTGCGGCGGCAGCACGTGGCCGCGCCGCCCGCCGTGCGCGCGCTGCGCCAGCGCCTCGCGCGCCTCGGCCTCCTCGCCACGCACTACGACTTCTACACCTTCATGCACGACTTCATGCCCAGAGAGATACGGGTGAAGGTACGTCACACAGCATCCAACTTCCCACCACCTACCTTTTTTATTGAAAAAGTCTTTGATCGTCCCATTACTAGCTGATAGAGGTCCAAATAGCTTAAATGACGTCACTGTGTTGATACCTAATATACATTAAAATATAATTTAACATATTAAATTGTTGTAAAAAATCTACAATCCTTTATCCAATAAGTACATTTAAAAGCTTTAATTGCAGTACCACCAAGATTTAAGCCTTGTCCCACCACTGACTGATAAAGGCTCAGTTAGCTTAAAAATGACTGTCAGATAAGGAAACAAAATAAGTAATTTCCATCACATATTTTACACATTCGATTGTTATCAGATAATTTACAATTTGGTAGAACTGACACTTAAAGGGGGTTTCCACTTCGGATAGGATATACCCCTTAATACTTGGTTTACATTTGGTCGATATTGTCGGAGAGACAGCCAGATTGTATGGACTCACTGGCACCAAACGTTCACACCGTGCCAGTTGAGTGCTAAACTAGTTTCAGGGCAACTGAACGACTGTACAGCCAAGTGTAAACCGTGCTCAGATATTTTTTTTATTTTAATAGCTTAACTAGCTACTGGCTCAACATAAGTGTTAACTCAAGATAAATCTAAACTCTGGATTTTTGAATTCATCCGAGGTACATCTTCAAAAATCTCAATGTCTCATCAAAGTTTAACAATTTGTGTTAATTATTTTAAGTGCATAGTTGCAATGTGTTTTTTTTAGTTATACCGCCTACACTTACACTTTATTTAAAACATAAAGTATGTCTGAATATTTTTTTACCTATTTTTAAACACTTATAAACTTATTCTTAAAATTATCTTCTTGGATGATTATTATTGTTTTATGTTCCCAGGTTGTTCCTGATGTGGTGAATGAAATCCCATTACCAAGAAACGGCGTGTTTTCTAATATTCTTTGATACAAATATAATTATTGTTATGTTAGATAATTAATATAAAATAAAAATGTAAATATATCTAGTTTTGTTTTATTTTTATGGTTATAGTTTGCCTAGATGCCAATACAATGCCTAACTATCAAATCGTTTCCACAAAGGTATAAATAAAACATTTTTTTACTTGATTCTAGGACTTGTTTATTTTGAAAATAGTTGGATACAAATGTACACCTATAATACAACGGAGCACCATACATACTGGAATATAGCAATAAATGTTCATTTTTCAGCAAATACACTTTGCAAATCGTTATTTATGTTTACATACATGAAAAATATGCGACAATCCGAAGCCTGTTTACTAATAACATAAAATGGAATACAAACTGCAACATTGGTTAATCGATTTCACAGTTTTATTACAGAATAAATGCAGGACTAATATAAAACGATGTTGTCATCCAGAACCGATTCTCAAGTCATGATAAATCGACTCTATTCATCTTAAGTTTAAAAAAATAGAATAATTATTGAATTTAATAAACAGTCAGTATTTTTAAGACCTTCCAAATATCAAAATGTTTACGATTGAAATACATTAAATATGAAGTTATAACATCTAAATACAAAGCTTTGACTTTTGGGACATAAAGTTTCAATTATAAAAAATAAAGCCCGCTAAATACTATTAGTATTAACTAAACAGTCATTTTTTTCGGTTAAAATTGTGTAGGCAAAATTTTAACTGTCGAACTGCACGGTTAAAATTTTGCCTACATGCTACATGAACATCTGTAGCGAGCAAATATTAAATTTATATAATTAAAAAATGTTATTCATAATAATATACTGAGTAAGGCTGAGTTATTTCATAAATTGCTAGAAAGAAATAACATTTAAATGTGTATTTTCACTGTTATATGGATAAAAGTGAAAAAAGTGTCAACTTACAAAATTAAGCTACTTAAAATATATCTCCTATTAAACTTAACAATATGCGTTAAATTCATTCTAAACTCGATGATACGTAATAGGGGTGTAACGATTCTTTTACAATAATGCAAGAAACCAAAGCTTTGACTAGATTCAAATATATTGAGCCACAAAATATAATTAACATTTACAATTGTTACAGATAAATTCGTAATTACCTTACTTTTTTTGTTATTCCCGAAAACGAAATAATTCCGAATCATTAATTTTTCATTATGATATATTTCACAAGGGCAAAAATTTTTATTTGTTTTCTAAACAAGGAATTCGTATAACATTAGTTTTATAGGAGTTGCCAAAATTGTAAAATCTCTTGTAAAAAAGCCGTTCCAACCCTATAACATGAGACTAAATAAAAATAATTTCTAATTAACTAATATTGTGAAGTGCACAAAATAATGAGTAAAAAATACGTGTAAATATTATAAGCTACTTAATAGATTTGCATAAATATTTATTAACGTGATTTAGCAAAAATAATACTATTTTAAATGCTGTACAAACACCCAACATTTATTTTCTAGCACTAAGCACATATTAAAAAGGAGTGTGACAATATTGTGACTAAAAGTTGCCAGTAGTATTAAACGACGGAAATATGGTATAGAATATTGCAAAAATTAATTTGCAAATCTAATTATTAATGAATAAATGTTAAAAGGTTATATAACGTCTGTTATTGTGTTTTAAGGCACAATAATTCTGCCGTATAGGGATGGTTAACGGAACCACTTTATTTAATTTTAAATTGCAAATAAAAACGAAATTAAAAAATTGGAATGTTTTTCCAACTATCATTGTCTTTTTAAAATCCAACAGAGAACATTCTAGTATGAGCGTGTCATTTTACCGTATATTTTAATTTCAAGCCAATTACATTAAAGGGTATGGTCTAATTCCACTACAAAATTACAAAAATTGGTTGTAAACGACTTTGGCACTACTAAGACACGACATTGAGGTTAGGAAGGTTCTCGAACTAGGAACCTAGGAAACTAACCTTACCAATTTTATTATGGAAAAGATGATATCCATAGTTGTATAACCTATAGATGAAGTATTTCATACAATTTTTTATCATCAAAATTCGAAATGACAAAATGAAATTACCCCAAGTAAAGGACTCTGGAGTATAAAAAAAAAGTCCTCCTTTACTTAACTATAGATTATATACCTATGAAAAAACACCTCATAAGCTCTTCGGATATATCAAAAACTATATACCGATACAATAATTGCAAATACATTAAGCTCCTTACGAACTAACAACAGCCTTGCAAATAAACGCGGTATAAAGTTAAACTTAGGAATAAACTTAGTACAGTAGAACCTCGATAAGTTAAAGTCCAAGGGAAACACAAAATATTTTAAGTTATAGAGGTTTTAAGTTATCAAGGGTCTATGTTATAGAGGTTTTGGATTCTGATGGGAAGGGAACATATTACTTTTTGATGTTATAGAGGTTTTTAAGTTACTGAGGTTTGAGTTATGTTCTACTGTAAGTAAAAATTTGTACTAAAATGCTTATACTCAGTTTATTCCTAAGTTTAACATACCGCGTTTATTTGTAAGACTGTAAATGTTTATATACCGTAAATAAATTAACAAATGTTAGCTAAATTAGAATAAATCCGAATAAAAAAAATTATCACTTAATTTTTGACTAAGGCTGAGATTGAATTTCAGTCTTACTACTTACTAATGTTATTTTATACCACTTTCTACCAGTTTTTTTTTTCACATTTTATTTAGCATTTAACGAATTGTGTAGCTTGTCGATTTTATAACCGTAGACGTTTTAGTTTCCGAAAAGTAATTTTTGTATAATCAATCTCAGCCTATAATGGCAGTAGTAAATAAAAAAATAAGTACTAATAACATTTTAAAATGCGGAAAGTGACTTTTGGAAGTAATTGTCTCATAATAAACATATCCTAATGTAGTTTAGAAATAATTGTGGAAGAAATTAACCACCCCTGAAATAGAAATAAATGAGATGTATTTAAAAGGAGACATCGATAATAATATAAAAAAGTACGCGTTAATTAAGACTATACTTACATTTTAATGCAATGAAAAATGTGTTCATAGTCGAAAAAGGCGAAATACTACCCGAACACAATAACATGATACTCCGAGTAAATGAAATGTCTCTTGTAAATTCGCTAAAAACGGTACTTTGGGGCATGAAAAGCTACGTTGTAAAGTATAGTTTAAACAAATCTTTTAACGCATAAATTATCAATATTGTACATGTCTTTTGGTTTTATAATTGTCTAAAAGATGGCGTTAGATATAAATTGAAATTCTAATAAAATAAAATCTTTTATTTTATGAATAAATTAATATTATTAAGAGATAGCTCTCTTCGTTACTTTTGTTATTGTCTTATATTACAGTAGTTTTTTATTTATCGTAGTAAATTATATTAGGCTATGAAAAAATTGCAATTTCATTCTGGGTGTCATGTTATTGTGGTCGCATAGTAATTGTGAGATGATGTCGAGTTGATCCCGGCATTTATCCTAGTTTTATTGTTTAGACTGGATTATTAGAATATTCTTAAAATTCATTATTAGTTGAAATTACAGAAATGTATTATTGCTCCCTAAATGTATAAAGTCAAACTTCACAATCTCACAACACATTTGATATTACTTTACGGATACGAAAATCGATATTAATTAAACGATAAAATACAGATAAATAAAGTTGCGAAACCGGATACATTATAGAATATACAATTACAGTTTTATACTTAAAACTAAATCAATACTGACAACAAAAACTTCTTAATTTTTAAAAACCATATAACAATTTAGAAAATCATAATTGAAATAAATCACCTTCAAATTTCAAATAAAAATCAATAAAATGTGTCTACAAATTTCTTTTACAGATAAAAAATACAATTACAATAAAAAAAATATGTGACCAGTCAAATGTCTTTACATTTTGCGTCATACAATCATAAATTACAAATACAGTATACAGGATATTTAGGAGTACATACGATTACCTTGGGTTACATTAACGTGGATGGCAGGGTAATAGTTCCACATAGTTGGCGGGGAAGAGACCGAACACCCCCCTGGGCCCCAGCCCCTGCCACCAGCCCGCGTCTATCTGCTCGATGTGCGTTATTATATCACCAGGGTCGAAGGTTATTTCTGATTCGTCCGCTGTAAAGTAAACGAAATCAATTAAAAAGTTAAAAGGTGAAAATTCATTTCATCAATCCCTAAAAAGTTGAACGATGAAGATTAATTTCATCAGTCACACTTAAAATGTTGGATTATAATAATAATAATCATCAAACACTTAAATAGTTGAATGATGAAAACAAATTTCATCAGACATATCAAATGTTTAATGATGATACATTTCACCATTCATTTAAAACTGTTAAAGGATGAATATACATTTCACCAGTCACTTAAAAAGTTGAATAAAGAGACTAATTTCATCAGTCACTTAAAAAGTTTGTACTGACCTGCTTGGTAGTCATAGAGCGCGCGCGCCGTGAGGCCGGGGTCGTCGTCCAGGTCCTCGTAGATGTTGCCCTCCTCCTCCAGACCCTCGGGGGACACGTCTGCAATCACATACGAAAACATGATAATCGACAGTTTTCAACAAAATAATGGATTTAACATATTTCATACTGTTATAAATATGAATGTTTGGATGGAAGGATGTTTGTATCGTTAAAACGGCTCATTGCATCTCGACGTTTGGCTTCTATCTTCCAGTGGCACATATAGGCTATTTATTTATTAATTTACTATCTCTCGCCCGCGACGCCTTGCGCGTAGGATAAAAAAAGTAGACAGTGTTCTTTCAAACTATTTACGACATCTATGCCAAATACCATCAACCATTCTGCAGTTTAGGCTACAAACTAACATCCAACTAAACTTTGACATTTATAATATTAGTAAAAAGTAAGATTATGAAGTACAAGCTTATTACTATTGTATTTTGATTCAACGCAGACGGAGTCGCAGGCGAAAGTAAATCTTACTAATATTATAAATGCGAAAGTTTAGATGGATGGATGTTTGTTAGCGTTTGTAGCCTAAACGGCTGAACGGATCTTTATGAAATTTGGCACAGGTTTAGAGCATAGTCTGAAGGAACACATAGGCTACTTTTTATCCCGGGATAAGTTACGGTTCCCGTGGGATTCATTAATTTAGTTTTTTAATGTTCACTCGATCATTCTGGAACGGTTCAACATATCTTATTGAAATTTGGCACAGATATAAAACAAAGTCTGGAGTACACATGCGATAAGGTTCATCCCCGAGAAATGTCCGGTTCTCGAGGAATACGTAACTTTTTGTAATTTATATAGTTTGTATTTCTAATACCACGCGGACGAAGTCGCGGGCAACAGCTCGTAGATTTATACCTAAGAAAGATTTTAAAGACTTTTATCTTACCATCTAAGGTGGTGGTTCCATTTTCTTTCTTATAATGTACATTTTCAATGACAGTATTCTGTCTGCTGAGTTCCGACCTCGCCTCGGTGTCCTTCGTGTAGGGAGACCGCTTTATTGTACTGAACTTATTATCACTGTCATCATCATCATTTTCATTGGAACTGGAATATGATGCGTCAAACATATCATTCTCTAGAATATTCTGTTTGATCATCGGTTCACTTTGCTTTAACACTTCGTTATTGTATTCGTTATATTCTGAATAGTTGATAGCGCTGAAGGAACTCGGTTCTTCTGTACTGGGACTGAGATCGACTGAAGGATCTATTATCGGTTCGTATTGTATCTGCGAAGGTCTTTCTAGACTCATTTTGATTTTATCTATGTTCTTCAATGGGCTTGTTTTGCTTTCGTTTTCTTCTGGTTTCGGTTGTTCGAGTGTTTTTGTTGGAGATTTGATAGATGTGTAAGATTGTGCGTTTTGTGAGAAAGTGTTGATCCGTTGCGCGATCACTGAACTGCGGACTGGCTTCTCTGGTATAGAGTTCGATCTGTTGAATATTGCATATATTTAATAACTTTTTGTACATGGGATATCTTTTTTTTGACCCACGTTGTAATAGTCAGGAATATACTTTGTAAAATAATTTACTTTGAAAACTAAACTTGCAATCATATTTAATTTAAAATATACGGTCATACTTTATTTATATTGCAGTTTCTTATGTGCAAATATGGTTGAAACAGAAAAATATAGGGATATTTAGATACGTATATCAAAAACTTGTCTCTATCTGTCGGTAGCGAGATTTTTAAGTTGAACATTTAATTTTTGGTTCGTTTTAAATATTTTTAGTTTATAAACTTTAAAATTATAGTATTCTTGTTATCTACAAATTAGAAGGAACACAATATTTCCGCTGACTTTTTCTGCTATTTGCAGAAGACAGACGGAGTTGGTGACTTTATTGTTCAATAAACTATGAATAGTCTTCAATCCTTGTCAATCATCAGATATAATGGAAGTGACAAGAAAAGACTGGCTGACTTTAAGCAAAAACAGGAAAGACTGAATTGAGGCCTTTACTCAACGAGGGATATTAAAAGATATTGAATATAGTAGACTAACAATACTAAAAATTATAATAAGGTGTGAAACTAACAATACTGACAAAATAAAATTTTAAATGCTATGTAAATATGAAAATAAAGAGGCTTATTATTATTAAAATATGAATATTTAATACAAAATATGTTTAACATTTAGTGATTTTGAGTTTTGCTTATATTCCAAATAAAGTAATCTTTACCTAGTGGACATCTGTCCTTGTGCTAAGTTCTGTTGGAAGAGAGCCCTCGCTGCGGCTGTGGAGGCGCCGATGAGGCGGCGCGCCTCCGCCGACCGCTGCCTCCGCAGCGCCTCGCCCGCGCTCACGCCCGCCTCCGCCTCCGCCTCGCGCACCTCCGCACCCGCATCGCCCGCCTCCGCCTCCGCATCCGACTGCACGCGCCTGCACACCACTTTGTTACTGACGGAACCTTGTACAGCGGACTTCAAATATTTGTTTTTTTTTTTTATTAATCTTGGATGTACGATCAAACGCCGTTGCAATGTTTCATCAGTTAGAGCGGACCTACCTTTGAATAAACTATTCCAACTATTTGTTTCGCAGCCAATTCAAAGGAATAGGTTCATAGGAATCAGCGAAAACAGTTCTGCGATATTTAAGTCAAAGGTGCGCGCTGTATAGAAGTTTAAAAACAAATAAATTCGATTCACACCTTATGTTTGAAGTCCGCATCGATTTATTTACATTAATCGATGATTTTAAGCATAGATATAGACCATATCATAATTGAAAGCCAACAAATAAATTATAACCTCACAGAATATTAAGTACAATTAATTATTGTGCATTGTCAAATTTGTTATTTGCTATTTTTTTAAATAAAAAAAATTGTACACACTTCTGTTCTTCTGCTTTAGCTCTTCTCGCTGCTTCCAGCTCATCTCTCCTTCTTACTTCTTCCTCCGATTTTCTCTTCTCCTGGAACACGATTTTAAAAATCAGAATTAATATATGTTGAACTTCTGCATGTTTACTAATCTCATAGCTATAGCTGCTTAGTATGGAAAACAGTTATTTCATATTATAGGTTCTGTTCTATTTTTATGAATACCGAGCAGACGAAATCGCGGGCAAGAATTAAACCAAAATTTAACAAACCTCCTCTCGTCTTCTTTTCTCAGCTTCAACACGTTTTTTCTCCTCCTGTTCCTCTTTCAACCAGAACTGGTCTCGTTCTTTGGAATTGATTTCTTGAACTGGAAATAAAAAAAAATCAAAGAAATTATAAAAAGTAACTTTTAGTTAAATAAACAACCTATAGTGGCATGGTGATGGCGGGAAATGCAATTGAAGGTTCAAAAAAAAGAAATGCGTTTCACTGAAACTCATGTAATTTTAAAGAAGTTTGGGAATCTTTTGTATAAACAACTGTGGTGACAGTTTACATCTTGTTGTCTTCTATTATATACAAGAGAGTGAAAGAGACCACTATATGTCTATAAGTGTCACTGGAATTAGACGCGTGAATCAGCTCTGAAATGATATCAGCTCACATAATTTTGCGCCGTTGAGCTACGAATCAACCACTAAATTAGCAGTTCACGGCGCATCTTGACATGCTATAATTATGTGATCCGATGATCCGCGATCTACTCACTGATTTACAACTCTTGCAAAATATAACAAAAATAGTACAAATTGAGTATATTTAATTGAGTTTTGAGCCGGCTCACTCAACTTCACGCGAACTGTGACGTCATCAATTTGCGTAATCTCAGTTTTAGGGTAAATACCTCTCCGCAAGCCTCGTTTTTTGCTTCTAATTTCGTCAAGTATCTGTTTGGAGACGATTCGATTGTAGTTCTGTGAGACGGATGTTCGAGTGTTTGTCATGTCTCGATGTACTCCGAGGACGTTCGCAGACCGACTGCGGCGCGTGTTTACATTACGTGTTACGAACAATGCGATGCATCCGACGCATTATTGTCACATTTGGTAAACAATAGTGTATGCGTTATAAAATTCTTATTGCATACCGATTCAATATTACACGACAAGGTGACACGTGTGTGATATTTTCTATTGATATAAGACTTGAAACTCTGATAGTGGCGTGTTACATCGTCATCAACTCGCCCTTGTCATTACGCAGGGTCGGCACAGTATGGACTGGTCTTGCATACATCTCTGTCAGCCGTCATATCTGAATTCACTTCCTTCTTAAGCATATCCTCTTTCACACAATCCATCCATACTTTCTTCGGTCTTCCTCTAGCTTAATAGCGATCCTATCCTCTGTCATACCAATAGTATAAATCTGAAAGTTTGGTTGGATGGATGTTTGTTAGAGTTTGTAGCCTAAATGGCTGAACGGATTTCGATGAAATTTGGTATACATGTAGAGGATAGTCTGGAAGAACACATAGGCGTCGCGATCGAAAGCTAATAATTATTATATTATCCATACTTATATTTGTGATAGGAGAAAGCTGACCTTGAGACTAGAGACTTTATGCTTTAACTTTTCGATGACCTAAATTTGTGTTCCGCAAAACCATTAGCGCGATGTTTTGAACCATCAAGATATTTGAATACACTATACCTGGATTAACTTTCCTATATGCAGTGCCGACAGGTCCACTCGGGGGTATCTCTTCGTGTCGGCTACTCTTGAAGTTGAAAGCGGACCCAGCCTTGGCCAGCTTATCGAGGATCATCTTCTCTTCGAGGTCATCTTCTGTACGCGCGTGCATCGTCAGGTGGAAGCCGGTGAACAGCTGAGCCACGTGCTGCACGTGGTTCGCGCACGTACCCTTACGTACTGTCGGTGCGCCTTCACCCTGTTCAGAATTTTTTTATATAGAATAAGGTGCCAAGCGAGCAAGTGGCCGCTGCCTATAGACCTCCGCAATTGCAGATGCGTTGCCTACCTATAATTGATGGAGGAGGGACATAGAGGATATATCCCCTTCGTATGCGTCTCCTCCTCCGTAAAGTCCAATCCACACACTCGTACTCTAAAATGCTATCTTGGGCCAGTTACACAACTTTAGTTTCAACCAAACAGGCAAAAATAAGAACTGTAGTTAACTGATACTTAATTCTGCCTACACAAATGAAATCTAAAACCATTTAACAAATGTTTTTTACTCAAAAAGGACGCAAAACGCTAATGGAGTTACGGAATATAGTTACCAAAAAATAAATTAAAATTGGCTTTATTCAGGATTATCCTTAGTAACATAAATGACTGTAGATAAATTTTATATTTATACGTACGTATATTTAAAATGCTATTATTTGATCTGGAATAGAGGATCTTTTATCTCCGGAAATAGTAAACGTATAAGATAAACTAAAAGGAGATAAATCGTAATCTCTTGATATCTCATCATGTAATCTTACCTGCCAATTGATAAGCACATATTTGGATATAGTGCCGTCGGGCAGATCCACTTTGAGGAACGCGTACTGTATCTTGCCACTGTTGAAGTCGTCTATCAGCTCGATGAGGCCACCATCGCCTTTACTCACGAACTTCAAGTCATTAGACAAACCATCGTAGCCAAAAAGAGCCCTAAAAACACAAAAATGTGACCATTACGATTAATTTAGCCTAATGGTTTGGGGTACGGATTGCCGATCTTGCGGTCGAGGGTTTGAATCCCGCCATTCGAGCTAGAGCATTCGAGTCTAGTGCTTAGTTGGAATGGTTAAAGGAAATATTAGTAAATTAACAAAAATCTACTAATATTTTTATTTAAAAATAAATTAAAGTGTTTGATTTCATATACATTTTAATGTAATGTTCAATTGTTTAAATTTGACCCAATAATTCCAGTCGCGAGGTCTTTTGAAACGCGACACCGTAGGCTCCCGGGCCACCTATCTACGCCTTTCTCCGCATCTAGTTTCATATACAATTGATTCTGGATAAGTAACAAACCTCTATAATCAAGAGACATCGCGGATCCTTGGTCTAATCTAATTTTAACTGACATCTAACTAATTTAACTAATTAACTAATATTATAAATGCGAAAGTTTAGATGGATAGATGGATGGATGTTTGTTAGAGTTTGTAGCCTAAATGGCTGAACAGATTCCACTGAAATTTGGTACAGATCTAGAGAATAGTGTGAAAGAACACATAGGCTACTCATTTTTATTTTTTTAAATACACGCGGACGGAGTCGCGAGCGAAAGCTAGTACAATAATAATTCACTTAATCTTATAATATTCTATATTTAATGCTTTATTTGAAGCTGACAATATGGCATAAAAATATGGAGAATCAAAATCGCAACACGAAAATAAACTGCATTAATATATCCTACTTGAGCAGTGGTAATAAAACAGGAAGTTGTGGGAGTAGGAGAAATTATAAACAGCTCCTAACAACGGGTTAACACTGTAATAACATTTGTTTTTTTATATAGAACTGGCTGTTTCTCGCAACTTTGTCTGTGTGAAATTAAAAAAATATGTTTAACCAGCAGATGTAAGAGGAATTTTATCCCTATGCATAACTTCCTCTTGCCATCCTCCTATTTTCTATATGCAAATGTAAAAATAAATGGGTATCCGATGATGCTATAAAGGTATGAAGGGACAATGGGTATGTAAAGGGAATCTATTTATAACTCGACATTTACATATATCTAACTATTAATAAACACATATCCTGTGTTCTTTGTGAATATGTTCTACATTTGAGCCAAAAATTCATCATCTAATCAAGAAAAATATTTGATTACTAAGTTTGTTATGACAGGGTCACAAAAATCAAAGGTTATTGAACCTTATTATTATTTGATTTATGTAAAATAATGATAAAATTGAAAGCAGGATACATAAAGCTTATATAGATAGGTTATATTATGATTGATAGACAATATCAAGTTATGAATCAACGATCATGGCTTATTTACAGTAAATAAAGTGCATATGTGGTGATCTCATTGCATTTGACTCATTGAGACAATTTGTTCAATTTTCTGTCTCCACATGTTGAGTGTGTACAAATATTTATATGTACATATAACAATCACATTTAGTTTATATTTGAATTTGAACACAAAAATGACAAGTACAAATGTATTATAACTATTATTTATTTACTGTATTTTTTAGTTTGACTGGTATGAAAAATAATATAAGCAATTTGATAAATTCTTTTTATGGTCTGATATGTTCAATAAGTACTTTATCAGTCCCTTGGTACAGATTTATTTTAACCTACACTAAGGGCAGCCATTAGTCACCATTTATGAACTACATGCTAAAATTTAATTAATTACTAAACTTTAACTAGGCAGAACAGATCTTAGTGATCACACAAAAGTTGTAATGCACAGGATATGTAAATATCCAACCATAAGTGGCTGAATAATAAAGTAATTTTTGTTAAAATTGTGTTAAAAATAAAGCCAAATTATATAGATGGAAAAATGTTAAAGAACTAAAAAACAGATTTATTTTATGAAATAAAAATGGCAGTTTAAATTCCTGCTATATGCATTTGCATGTATAGTTTCACAGCAAGTTATATGGTTTGTATCTAAAAAACACTCGGTACGTACATGTGCATTAAAGCAATACCGGCTTCAGGAATTGATTCATTAAACTACAAAAAGGCTGTTTATTTAATTTTGCCAGCATGTAGGTCGTCCTATGAATGCTTAAACTCACCAGTTGGTGTCAGATTTTTCGTCCAGTACATCCTTCCATGCCGCTACCAAGGCTTCTCGATGTTTTTCTAAATTAATGGCCATTTTACATTATTTGTACTAATTCAGCGATGGATTTTTAAATAGAATTTTACAAGAATTATCGTACAATGCCGAATGAAAGACTGACTCACAACAATATTTCATATAGATAAAATAATATTGAACTGTCATTCTGTCATCGACAGTCGACAGATAAAAATGAAAGCGTCACAGATAAAATCTGATAGATTAAATTTTAAAATGCGAAAATATTAGATTTAAGTTATTGAATCATGATCGAGATTATTACTCGGCGTTTTCATTAACTAATTACGCTAGTGAATTCTTAGTATAACTGTGATTTATATGCAGCTATCTGCAGAAATTGGAACATACACATCCAATTTATTTAGAACAGGTATTTCTAAACGAACGAAAAATTGCATAAATTAAACTCACAGGCGCTTAATTTATGGATTTTTCACACATTCAATCCATTTTTAGTTTTTGCCGATAAAATGTATTAAATCTGATTTGGTAACCAAATAAAAATGAAATGGAAGCAAAAATTACACTACAAAAAATCCTGTTTAAAAGTTTACAAGCGAAACTTTGCAAAGGTAATGACAATTAGAAAGCAACATAAAAAACACTGTTTTTAAATATAAAGAAAATTACCGCCACAAAGGCAAAGTTAAAAACTATCTTTGAAGTAGTAAAATTGTCAAGATTTCTATTGCGCGCGCAATGAAATTAAAAATCACAACTTTTCCTTTGAAGCACCTCAGCAATAGAACGTTAATTTTTCCGTGCATTAGTCTCGACAACCACCGCTTGGTGGGCAAACGTAACGATAGGTCGTACAATGTCGTTTTTTAATATCGCCGTAATACAAACAAACGTTTAGAAAATCATGTGGGTTGATGTTAGCGGGCGCGAAAAACAGAATTATTTATCACAGCCCAACGGATGTTTTATACCGGGGTGAGTAGCTTTTGAAAAAGTATTTAGAGATTATTTAACAAAATCACTTTATAAAAATATGTTTGCAAATATGAAGAAAAATTCGCCACAAGAAAAGATAGTTAAATATATACTTTAAAGAACACCACAACCAAACTACTATTGATAAAGATTTTTTACCATTGAGTTCTTTATGATGGAGAAAATATTTAAGTGTTATTAAAAACACTACGTTTTTTATTTTGAAAATGGAAGCACTGACATAGTCGAGAGTTGCTTAGTTGCTATGGATACTAACGATAAATATTGAATTTATTTTTTTATTTTTAAGATATTGTGCAACGTTTTTGTTGACGAAATTACGACAATTACTATAAATGGAGGCTGAAATTCAAAATAGAAACTTTTATTTGACTTTTATAGCAACATTTTTCGTATTTGCGCGTCGAACGAACCCTGTCCACATAAGAGTATTTGTTAAGACTATAGGAGTTTTGAAATACACCCTTTTCTTATCACTATCACTACATGGTATAAATAAAAGTTAATTCTGTTGATTTTGACGTAAATACTGAAAATTTTAGAGGTTTCTTATGTGATGTAAATAAACTTTTGTATCAGCATTAGATCCGTGAAAAGTCGACTTGGGACGCTAGATGTTTTTTTATTTCGATATTACGAGATGCTAATATCGCTGATATTGTCGTTTACCAAGGCTAACAATATCAGCTATTTAAGGATGAATAGCCCAAAAAATTCTTGAATACTAGATCAGTTTACCTAGATCAAGATTCTAGATATTTGGTTTAAAGTTACGTATTGCTCAAGTATCACAGTGAGTGTTACGTCCATGACACATTGACCGTACAGTAACGCGCTTGATTGGGTAAGTTGACTATAAAACAATCTATTCCATACATAGAAAACAGGAAGATAAGTATGTATGTTTGGTATTTTCAAGTAATATACCTACGCTGATCTCTATTAGAAACATTTATCAATAAAGCAGTTATAACTTAAACTTTCTGGAGACATTTTTCTAAACGAATTAAAAACGGCACTCCACCTGAAGATGGCCCCACGACGGGTACGAAACTAGTCGGTGCCGTCACCAGAAGATCAGCAGTTACGACTTAGATTAAAAAGAAAAATAAAGTAGTGTGTTTAGTACGATTTTTCCAGTGATTCTTACTAACACAATAAAGCATATATACATTTTTTTTATGTAGGATGTCGGCAATCACTCCATGTTTTAGAACAATTTTGTATTTTAATAAAAACCCTGTACATGGTATAAGTTATAGATTTACAAACTGTTTAACTTTAAGGCATGAATAATTAGGAAAAAAATGTTTGTGAAATGCGAAATCTTGCGGTTAAAGCCTCATAGAAACAATTTTAATTTACTAAGTTTTTGTATAATTTGACCTGTTAGGGAGACCAAATAGACAAATTGTATCCAAGAGAGCAAACGACTAAAATAAATTACTAATGGTAGTAGATACCCGTCAGATTTTGATTTAGGTATTTTCAAAGGAAAAGTTATTAGGTAAAGCGTTACTTTTGATCTTCAACATATAAATGGATCCAAAGCGTATAGTCATCATCGTCTGACGAGTTGTTTGGAAGTATTTATTACTAAAGAATCCACTTTCTCAGGCTAAAATATGCTGCTCGATGTTAATCATAAAAAAAGGAATTCAAATACGCGTGAGAACTCTCATATAAAAATTTCTCATTAGCACATATGTTAAAAATAAACTAATGTATCACATCAACGGAAAATAGATGAAGAATCTGAAAATAGTTATTTGCTCAAATATGTATTAATTGTAACCTTTTTTAAATTCAAATTAGTTGAAAGCATCCTCCCTTTTTCTTTAATTAAAATATCATTAAATAATATAAATTGAAATATCACTAAATAGTATTATCTTATTTTATTATCTACATCTATACAAATAATAAAATGTCTGTCTGTAATATCAAAAGAAAAATTCCAGATTTCGGGAAGATTATGTATTTGCGTTGCCGATAACGAAAATCGCATTTAATTTTTATTTAGTCTGTCTGTCTGTCCGCAAGCCGCGTTTGTTCCGGCCAATCTCCGAACTTTCACTGGAGGGTAGCTGACATGGATTGGCATATTATGGCCTACTTTTTTTAATTCCTTGCTGTCAAAATGGCGTAACGGGTGGTCCAAAGCTCTAAAGAAGTTTGCGGGCGACAGCTCGTAATATATAAGTCATAAATATTAGAATGTATGTATGTACATGCAAGTGCATAAATAATAAACACGTGGACAAACTTCACTTAATTGTTTATGCATTACGAATATACAGAATTCATAGATCGAAGTGAAATCGTTCGTAAATGTCGTGGTAACAATGTAGTTTAACGATTCACAGCCGACGGAGCGCGTCTTTAATAAACGCAACAACGCGTACCTATAACAAGAATTATTTTTGATTTTTTTTAAACTAAATCTTCGTCTAAAAATGTAACAAAATGATGGGAAAATGTGCACGACTATACTTTCGATGACGTCACAACAGTTTTCTCGTGCAATGTACAACAAGTTTAAGTTCTGAAAATATTTTAACAAGCCTAATGAGCATTGAATCGTTCCGTTCATTACAGAAATGTCGTATTTGGACTGTTTTATTACAATTTAAAGCGTCTCATGTTATTTTACACGCTTTGTAATCTTGTGGCAATGTTTTTGGTCTGTAGGCCCAATTTATTTTTGTTGTTAAAGTGTTTTTTTAAACATTCAATTTACTGTAGTGTCTGTTGAATTAATTAGCGGAAATATGATTTTTTCGAAAGCCTCTGACAGATTTCTTTGAATGGAGTTACGCTCGGCTGATAATTGGAAATGTAGTTTTGCATCTTTTATTGCGGATTTCTTTTATCTTTTCTGTAATGACAATATTACGATTAATTTCCATCGCAATATAAAAACGTATTATTATTGTACTATATTTTCTTTTCAACATAATAAAAGTCATGGTTATATTGATTTTGTGTGCGACTCCGTCCGCTTGAAATTTAAAAATAATAAAAAAGAAATGAAAAAATGTAGCCTATGTTACTCACAGATACATTACCTTTCTAACGATGAATGTTTAAAATCTGCCCAGTTTTCATCTTTATAATATTAGTATAAAAAGTGTATTTTGTAAAAAAAAATCTATAATGAAATTCGATATAATCGTGGTGCAATGTCACAAATAGTTACTGTCTGGTTTACACTAGGCCAACGCAGTTGGACAATAACAATCTCTTGCTGAACTGACATCAAAACAACATGAACATTAACCGGTGTCACTGAGTCCATGTTATCTGTAGCTGTATTGGCCATGTGTAAACCAGGCATTAGATTGAATGAGATTTCCCAATAAATGCATGTTCTATTACCGAATCTACAATTGACAGGCACAATGAGTAACCTCTGTTATTTAATCTGTCCACCGCACCCAGTTTACGACATTTTATTTGAAATTGATTGAAGTTATTTGAGTATACCTAACATACATTATAATGTAAATTAACATATTGAATTATAAAAAATCTACAATACGTTATCCAACAAATACATTTAAAGGCTTTTATTGCAATACTAGCATGATTTAAGCCATGTCCCATCACTGGTTGATAGAGGCACAGATAGCTTAAAAATGACGTCACTGTCAGATAACGGAACAAAACCCGATATTACCATCACAAATTTTAAACACTGGATTGTTATCAGACAATTTACAAATTCTTGGGACAGGCCCTTAAACTATTAAAATTTTAGAGTTAACGAAACCCTACAACGTATTGCTGTCTCTACTTTTATAACGAAAGTGATAGGACATTAAATAAAGCTCAAATTACATGTATTTATTTCGACGCTACTCTTTCCTCTGCTTTGAATACAATACCCACATACTTGTATTTAAGTAGCAGTGTATTATTACCCTTATCTATATGATCTTTTCCCTCCTGAAGATACAATCGGACAAAATGGTTTGCCGAGCTCCGCTATTAACGTACGGAAATAGATTAGCAAGTCAGCGGAAAGTATTAAATTAATGTGAATAAAAGCATTTCGATCGGGCACACCATTGAATAAACTATCGCACAACCGCTGTGCGATTGTCGATTGTTTCGCAGCCTTCAACTGTTTAGTTTCACAACTAAAATTCGAGTATTGTGTGCACATCCATGTAAGGATATAGGAAACAAAATGCGACTACACAGTTGTGCGATAAAGTAATCTAAAGTGTGCGCGCGCTCTTAATATAGTTACATAAATAGATCATTTTATAGACTATATCTTAGCTTGTTTTCTCCGAATATTTTATCAAACCTTTATTTCAATCTGATACTTTAATAATATTCCAAACAAATAAACATTTTTAAATGTCATTTTTGAGTTAATACGAAAATGGTATGAAAAATGAAACACGTATTAAATGAATTTTACTTTGGAATTAAATGCATTGATCGATATTGAAAAACATTACATTTGAAAATATCATGTGCGTAGATTTGATATTACAAAAATCTGATAACCTATAATTGCGTTGTGCTGAAGCGGTAAATTACAAGGGTCTAAACATCATTCCAAGTTGGGTGACGTCATTATCCAGGATATTTCTAACACATATTGCTTTTTTATATAAAAATAATGACGTGTGTTGAATATTGCTTTGTTTACAAACTTCATAACTATTTTGGCAGTTTTTATTTCGTTAATACAAGACAGTGGTTTCATTTAATACGTTAATATTTTTCTAACCTAAAAAAAAACAAACTTAAAATTTATGATTGTTAGATTTAACTCAAAACAAATTTCTCTTAACCCGAGTAAAATACTAGGAGATCGATAGATTATTTAACAATCATTTGGTTCGCAATCAATCGTTAAAATTTTTTTTCAAATCACAATAGAGCGGGCGCACACATTTAACTAAACTATTGCACAACTGTTTAGTCTCGCTTTGATTCCTATGAGCTTATATCGACGTGTTGCGAACACAACTTGATGTTTAGTTGTTCTACTAAACAGTTAATTGGCTTCGAAACAATCGACAATCGCACAACAGTGCGTTAGTTTAGTCAAAGATGTGCGCCCGCTATTAAATTAAAAAAAGCACTATGAAAATATAAACCATCTAAACTACAACTTATCACTTTAATACACATATTTACAATAATATCACTATCATGACGCTGTAACCTGTAACACCGTTTGGCACATTTTCTTCAAGGACAGTCTTCATAAGCAAAACAATATCCCGAAGGTAGATGTAAAACGAAGGGAAAATCACAATCACATCTCGACCAGCCGCAGATAACGCCCATTGGCATAGCAACCGGCTCGTCACAGGTGCGCTGCGATGGCGTCGGCCGACACTCGCTGTCTACACGATGCATGTTCTCGGGACAAGAAGTTACACCTGTAAATGAAAACATTAGTCCTGATATCTAATAATTCTAGCAAGGTTCATACCAAAAACACGCCACAAACTAAGTTTTTTTATTATACTTACAGGTATTATTGTAGGTTATACAGCCCGGCCTGCCTATAGTAGTATAGTACATCGCGTTTACAACTTTTAAGAAACAAAGAAATAGGCAAAGGCACCGCATTGCGTGCTGCCACTGATGTTTCGCGGGTTACAATGAACGGAGAAGTATCAGTTCGTTTCCTTTTATCGTTTACATTTGTCACCATTGTCCGGTTTATGTTTTGATTATCCAAATATACAACATTGTGACCTAAACCGCCAAAACGTTAAAACAATAAACACTTATTGCTTGTGACATTGTAATTACAAGTGTAAACAGATTCGCGTAACAATTACCAATGGAGAATAACATTTCTTTATTTGGATGGCTTGATTCATGGCATCCTATAACTGTCATCGTAAGTGTGCGTATGCATTGATAAAACCCGAGAGCCATACAGAAATATTTATTAAAAACTGTTAATTCAAGTAAGAGTAGAAATGTTTTGTGTGTAAAAGGACAATTGATTTCCCTCCAAGCAATGACAGTAGGTATATTCAGAAATAACTTTCGCAAAAAACATTTATTAAAATTACTAGTATCAGAAAACGTTGAAGTCAATGTTTGACTTTTTACGACGGATTAATGAATGAATGACACAAAGCTCCAGTTGTGGTTTAGTTTCCTTGAATTGACCCTATTTTGTTCAAGCTACCGTAAAAGTATTATCAATCAATGTAAGCTATGCAATTACACGACATAAAAGGTATGTGGTTTGACCCTTAACTAGTAGCCCCAGATGTAACCTGATAGTATTATAATTGAACCCTAAACTGATCGAACTATGATTTTTTTGTGCTTTTATAACCTAAAATAATTAATGTTACGAGAAGTACCACAAATTTTAAAGCTCTAAAGTACTAGTCTTTGTACCTAAATTTTAATCTCAGTAAGAAAGCGATGTGCTTTTTCATTGCTTCTAGAAGTTACTGACATAATGTGAAACGTTTTTACTTTTTTTCCTCTACATTTCAACTATCAATTTGTAGCGACGTCCAACTTGACCTACATACAGGTGCACGCTAAGCGGGTCAATGAAGTGGAATATTTATATGGCAAAAATAAAGGTATAGACTAAACAGTGCCCTCTAGTCTAACCTTACCAGTGTCAAAACCCCCGTAAAACTTTTTTTTTCATGAGTCAGAAATGATATGCGATTTTTACTGCATAAAATATTTTACAATCTACCAGCTTACGCCGGCGACTCCATCCGCACGGAAATAATTAAAAAGAAAACAAAATTAAGTAGCCTATGTGCTATTTCAGACTATCCTCTACGTCTATGCCAAATTTAATCGAGATCCGTTCAGCAGTTTAGGCTACAAACTCTAAAAAACCATCCATCCATCTAAACTTTCGCATTTATAATATTAGTATGAATCATGAAGTATGATCTACAAGTGAAATATTTATGAAAAGAAAGCAAAGGATATGAGTATCCTTGTTTTACATAACTATGAGAATCTGATATCTACGTATTGCGTAAACGGAAGTCACCTCAACTATTCCCACGATAACAAAAGAAAAAACGTTTTAACAAATGAATAGTTTGCGTAACCGCTTTGCGAGGTGAAACGGAATTCGATCATGGATTGTAGGTTATTTCAAAATATTATGATTTCTTTTACCAAAGTGTCCATAGTCTTCACGTTGTCACCTTAATCTTTACTGTGACTGATCGTTGAGAGACTTTATGACCCTTTCATTTTACTTTCAATTTTTATTACTATTTACCTAAGGAGGTAAGAGTAAAAGCAAGGGCTTTTACTCTTACCTCCTTTTACTTCTACAAGATGAAGAGTTAAGACTTGCCAGCAATAGAAAACATAAATTATTGAAGTTGCAAAAACTATCAAATGAACGTTGGAACACGAACAACCATTGTTATGGTATGTATTTCTGTATCTGTGCTACTCGCAAATAAAGTCGTGCGGAAAGTACCAGGTACCGCCGCTCCCGCCCTGCGATTCTACGTGCAGATTGGCGGGAAAATGTGAAACATTCGATAAAAGTAATTACAGAAGTAAACGTCTACCTTAATGCCTGCGATGGCAATGGGTTAATTTTTAATCTATGTTTGCGGTTGTTTGCGTTGTATAGGTTTTATTTCTAAGTATTTTTTACTGATTAGTAGACAAGCCCTTGTTGCAACATCGAGTATTTTTATAGTTGCTTAAGCAATCCTTCAAGTTACACTAAGAGACCTGTTTAGTAACTAGCAGTTAAATATCTTATAAAATTAGTAAAAAAATGTATAATGTTTTTCATTTGCAGCTTTTCCATTGCTAAAGATTCCTATATAATAATCTCACTTCTTACTAATATTATAAATGCGAAAGTTTAGATGGATGGATGGATGTTTGTTAGAGTTTGTAGCCTAAACGGTTAACCGATGAAATTTGGCATAGATATAGAGGATAGTCTTGAAGAAAACATAGGGTACTTACTAACATTTGGTTTTTTGAAGTGCACGGACGGAGTTGCGTGCAAAAGCTAGTATTTGAATAAGTACTGAGCTACGTTTCTAGGTTCTATAAATGCTTTACAATAATATAACTAACCTAGTTTTCAGACTATTTAGTACCTTCGCGTGTATGCTTCGTATCAGGTGTTTATATAGTTTTCTAGAGCCACATTCAACGCGTCAATCGATTCACAAATTACAAGGTCAATAACGAAGCTTTCACGGAAATTAACTCACGAAAATCTTTTTAGGGCACCATTAAATACATCGCTATTCAAGGGGTTTGAATTTGATTTGGCAATGGCATATCTAGGTCAAGGTTAACCATAAAACATTTCGATATTTCAAATATGATCCCAAAGTATAAAAAAACGTGATTAACGTAAATAACCTACCAGAAATACCAAATATTTTTAAAATTCCATAAACATTTTTAGTCAAATAAAATCGACAGTGTAAGAAAGTCAATATGAAACTTTTGTATTTAATCGCTAAGCTCTTGCTTAGTAAAACTTCACCACGACCTCTATAGCCCGCGCCCTCAAAGATATGTATCATGAACTCAGATAAGCTTACGACCTTCTTTTCTACTTTAGTCAATAGCTTTTGTTATTACAGAGATACACAAGTCCTTCAGGAATACTAAACAGTTGACTATCGCTTTCTTTAAACCATCTATAATGAATACCCATAACATAAGACGGTCTGGAATAAGTATCATTTATTTTAATTTCAGATATACTGGCCACTGTCCTATGCTCAAATTCCGATACGGTAAATGCTACGGAGACAACACACGGCAAATACTTAGAGAAATACGAAGCAAGGGATTATTTAAGTAAGATATTTGAGTTTACTAAAGATTAATCTTGTTAATTTTTCGTTAATCGACATTCCTTAACCAATTTAACGAAAAATTCCGGGAATAATATCTCTCTTAGTTGACATTAATTTGCACTATACAAGCACGTCTATTACAGTAAACCTCTAGAATACCGTCCTCGTGACAACTACGAATTAGACAAAATGCCGCGTCGCAATTCACCTACCACCGACGTCTACGATAGCGTGAAGCATCGCCAGCCGGCTTACATGACAGGGTACACTGGCTACGTGCCCGGCATGCACTTCAGGTAAGCTTTTACCATCGGTATCGAGCTTTTTTAACAGTTGTAACGGCTCCCACGTCCTTGCCGAGGTTATACTCGCTAAACAACGCTGGCTTAATACGGACAGTGTTTGTATTCCCAAAACCCTCACGATACAGGCCTGGCCTAATGTGAGGGTGTTGGTATTTTCGGAAAGCGATTTGAAGATAATGTATGATAGGACAGTGTAGATTGTTATACTTTTGTAATATATAAAATATTTCATTTTTCATTCAGATATTTGCATTTTGCAATACAATGCCACTTGTATAGAAACTGAATTTTTTAATGTTTAATTTGCAGATATGGAAAGTCATACGGCCGCGCGGCCGACGACTGTATGGCAGATTTCTCAGAGAACCAGCGAGAATTAAGACGTAAAGCGGATTTCAATAAAAGCTACATACGTTCAAGGAGTGCTCCCAAAATGGAGACGATACACACCAGAGATGAAATACGACGCGATTTAAATAAATTCAAAGAGATCAATAAATACAAAGGTATAATTCTGTAGTCCTTCTAAAGTAGGCAAAATTCTTCAATTTACATTTGATTTGGTAAACTCATAGCGTTATTTAAAAAAATCTGGCCATTCTGAAGCTTTTAATAGTTTCATATCGACCATAAAACTATTCTTATTAACAATCTGATGCTAAGTGAATTGAAAATTGAACCCACGATCTTAAGAACTAGATAACACTATTAGAGATTGAACATGGGCATCTCCTTTTTACCCTAATTTTTCGAAATGTCATTTTCGTCATTTCCTATGTATCATACACACAATTATCATAACCTTTTTAAATTCCAGAGCACTCAATATCACCGGAATTTCCACCAATAGCTGGTTATACAGGACACATTCCGAGGATAAAAGGATCCGAGGCGTCATTAAGTCAGCGATATCATTGCGCTGCGAAACGCGGCTTGGAACTTATCAAGATGGAGAGGGAAAAGAGAAAGGAACTTCTTGACGCGGATGTTAATATAAAAGCTATTCTACGAGGAGAAAACAAGAAGTATTCTTACTGGAACTGGGGATAGCATACGGGCAGAAGAATGTTCTTCACAAAGTGTCGATGAGCATTCTTCTATAAAATAAGCAATAATCGAAGAAAAGGATCAGTATTTGTTGTACTAAGTTTCTTGTCTTATGTAGATAATGATAGAAAAATAACTCACAGTTTTAAATATAAAGTGTTCGATTTTTAAAAAACGAGGAATCGATACTTTTTAATCGATTAAATTATCGATTTGTTACTATTCGGATGTCGTGTTTGTAATATCTGTGAAGAAATATTGTTCTATGCGTGTACATAGTTCTTTGAAGTCCAACTAAGACTTGATATTTTTTGTACCGTTCGCAAAAAAACTGTAGACATTTTGTCATTGAAACTATTCCGTAGATTTTCTATCCGCTTGTTTCTTTATTTTTTTTGTAAATTATTTTCAACATTCCAAGAGTATACTACTATACTTCTAAATTGAGAATGTTTCATTTCATTCTAATTTTATAACTTGATGCATCAGTACAAAAATTGTATATAAATCTATATGTTTTGTAAGCCCAAATGTAATAAATCTTAGAAATTTTAAGTATGAAATTTTCCTTAGATTTAAAAATAAAATCCCTTCATGTCGTAAATTTTTTTATTATCGTATAAATAGTTACAAAAATATGTTAATTCTTGATGTCATTGAATAGAAATTAATTTAAGTCAATAATCGTAATACAGAATATTAATTTTAAACAGAGTTGAAATGCAAAATAATATTTTATATATCTAACCTTAAAACTAAAATTTGTCATGTTTTACATGACGTATTTTCTTATAAACATTTAAATAGATAAGTTCAGATATCTATAAGTAATAAGGCACATACGTAAAGTTTTTTTTAAATAATTGCACCGATATATTTGGAAGTTATTTAGTAATAAAATATTTCGATACTGGCAACATTAAGACATAGATAACACTAACATTAGAGAATTTGTTAAAAATAAAATTTATTTTAAACTCAACTATTGTTTGTAATTTCGACCATTTTGCCATTCCTTTCATCAATGCCATCCACAATAGAATTTTCATTTTCTATCGGTGATTCAATATTCGGATCAGTCTCGCTGACTACAATTTTCTTATCTGTGGCAAGCTCTAACATTAAAGTTTCCAATTTCTGCGCTTTTCTCGTCTCGTTGTGCGTAATCAACGCACACAAATGTTCAGTAAGCAATTCTTTCTTCTCTTTTTCCTTCTGCAAATTGATTTTCGCTTGAAGAAACTCCTTTTCCACTTTCAAATATTGTTTTCTGGAAATTTAAACAGAGATTTAAAAAATAGAGACAACTTCGGAATTTATGATGTTTCATTTATATTAAAAATTTGAATCCCGTAAAAATCGGCAAAACTTAAAAGAATTGTAAATATTTTTCTACGTACTTTGCTCTGCTCGAAGGACCAAATTCTCGTATTTGTTAATAAAGAGCACGAGAGACGAAGATGAGGAAGTTTCAACGTCCTTAGTTAACATTAAAGGGATGATAAACATTTTTTTACTTACTCTGCGTCAGAATAAGTCAAACAGGCTTGGTCAATCTTCTTTCGTAACAAAGCTACATCGTGTGAGAACTGTCCATCTAATACTTGTAATTCTTTTTTTATTTTTTCCAGCCGTAACACTTCCTCTTCTGTTTGTCGTGTCCTAAAAAGGATGTTTCAAAAATTAAAAATCTGCAGTTTAACTATATACAGGTATTGGGAAACATCACCAACACAAATGGCAATTATCCAGACTTTTCCATAACATGCCAAGAAGTTTTTTCTGAGTTCTGTTATCGAAATTGGAACTTGGTATCGACGACGATATAACAATTCCTATGAAGATATCGTAACCCATAATATTGGATGAATTAAAATTACGTGTTCTAAAAAGCCTTAAAATTACTTAATACTAAGGACTTAAAATTATATGAATTTAAGTATTGCTGGCGACTCCGTCGGGGCGGATTTAAAAAAAAATAATTATCAGCCTATACATCAGTCTACGTTCTACATGTATGCGAGATTCGTTTAACCGTTGTGCAGACTTTGTAACAATCACCCATCCATTAATCCATGTAAACTTTTGCAGTTATAATATAAGTAAAAATTAAGATTTAAATTTACCATATTGTTTTTGTGAGAAGGTAATACCATTTGCTCATAGTAAACGTCGCACATACTTGAAATTGAACAGTTATCACAACACTGAAATCGACTATTCGCTCGCCAAAACTAGCTCTGTGTCGCAACGTATTTTAAGATAGGCTGATAGTGTAGAGATAAAAATTGATGTTTCATACACTCGATAGAACTAATGGAAGGAGGACGTAATAACTATTTGCAATTATGATAAATGATATTGGATTATGTTTGGCATTTTTTGATTGTACATTTCCGTTTTGATTTTGTTGATAATAGAATAGCGTGAAGACCAGAATAGTCGTCCCCAACCGGTGATTTAGGCTACATGTTCGGGGGGGGGGGGCTAGCTACCATTAATATTCAATATTTTTCACAAGTTTTAGGAGACCCCCCCCCCACCTCGTCCATGCCCATGCTAAATTTACAATCAGCTTGCAAGACATACTTAGAAAATACTTAAAAAAGAAATTGCTCTAACAAAGATATATACACCAAATGATTGCATTCACCAAATTCTTTAAAAGTTACTATTAATTTCAAAGACATTTCGATTACCTGTCAGCTAACGCTTTCGCTAGCATCTCTTTTCTTTTCTTGTTCTGTTCTTCCATCAACTTCTGCTTTAGTTGCAGTTCCTGCAGCTTCACTCTGTGTGCCGCCAGTTCATCCTCTGAGTAATTCTCAACACCTCTCACTATATCTGGTGTTACAATACTATCTCTCCTATCATTGCTCTCAATCTCCACTCCTGATAAACTATTGGATTCTCCATTTTCTCCATCTGTATCATTCTTTATATCTTCTATCTTTACTTCTGTATCATCAATGTTGCTAAGAGTATGCTCTGAAGGTGTTGTTGGTGTTTTTATGCTTAATTTACATTTACTAAATTCTATACTATCTATAGCATCGTCCGAATCTTGTTTACGTAAAACAGGTGGTATATTTTTTATTATTCCTTTTTTCGGTTTTGCACCAATTTTATCTATCTTACGTATGTTACTTAAATCAAAATCAGGATCAATTATACCTGTTAGAGAATATTATTTTTATTTGTATGGTATAGAAACATATATGCGTCGGTTATATTTTTTAAATTATTGTTGCTAAAAAAATCGGACTTAAGCATATTTATTTTTATACCCTTAATGAACTAAGTCAGGAAACAACTAATAAAATATAAGTATAACCCCTATGGAATTGTTCCAATATAACTTAGCAAAAAGTTAAGAATCTTATTTAAGAAGTTTCATGAAAATTTTAATTGTTAAGTGTTAATAATCAATAACACAGGTTTTTAATTCACCTTGCATCCACAATCCATATTGCACATAATAACACTAAATAACATGGTCTCAAGAACTATAATAAACTTATTTCAAATGTTTATGCTATAAAACATCTAATTATAATGATAATGATAATGATAATGTGCACATTTTAACCTTTACTTATTCATATGAATGAATTAGTTTAGAAATAGATCATTAGTATGATATATAGTACCAATGATCTAAAAAAATATATATGGCTTGTTAAACTAACCTCTTTAAAAAAACTTAACCTATAAATATTTTCATATAACAAAAGTATAACTTTTTAAAGATTTTTAATTACACAATGTTATTAAACAGGTAATCATTTAATAGCAACATTTCAAAACTAAGTCTAAATCAGTGTAACTAAAAAAAAGCTTTGTTTAATTGTTAAATATATTACAAATGAAGATGTGACTAATTCTCACGATATTTATAATACGTGTGATGTTTAATTTTTTCCCGGTGACGTAAACATTTGAATGCAAGCTACATGTGCAACAAAACACATCCAAAGACAATACATCTAACAAGAACTGTCTCGTAACAGGAACTAAGCCAGTAAATAACATACGTGGTAAGTTTCTCATGTAAATATAAAGTAATAAGATGATAATTGCATTTACCGCTGCTCTTGAAAGATTCCGCTGATTTGATTCGCTTTAAGTCTTCTTCACTAAAGCCTGTGAATGTTGACATTTTTAAACGAAATCTTTAATATTGTGGGGGTATTGTGTGCTAGTCCATACAACATAAACAAGAAACTACATTTAATAAGAATTAAACATAAATTACACAGCTATAACTTGGTAGAAAAACAGTTTGCAGATAGTGGGACAATTGTTTTGTTGTTTGACAGCAATGTGACAATGACAGAAACGAAACGAGTAAAATCGGGACACGTTTTTATAGAAGAGTAGGATGATTTATCAGGGACCCATGAAATACATATTTAAAGTCATGTCTTAGTAATTTAAATTTTGCACTTTAACATTTATACTTTCGTTTTGTTGTTCCGAAATTTTTGTCTTATTTCGTTGTTAATCTTCTGGATTTACAGTCACTGCGTAAATCAGATCGCATTTTGCTGCTGTCATTTTTGTTGTTTCTTGTCTGTCAGATTAACACATGTTTAGTCAAAAATGGATCACAAAAATTATTAATTATTCGTGTAGTTAATACTAGTTATGACTGAAAAATAACGGAGAAGTAATCTTATGGGAAGAAATTTTGATTTATTACCAAGATGTGTATGTACTTCTTTAAAAACTTGTATCTTTGCTGTTTGGCACTTTGTAACGTATTATGCGATTCTTACAGCTGAAATATTCAAGAAAGTGTCTGAAGTGGACCCAAATAACAGCGACGCAGTTAAAGAAGTGCTGACGTCATTTTTCCAAAATATAGTTAAACATACTGAAGTAAATTGTTATCAATGGCTGCGAGCATTAGAGGATGTACTTAGCCGGTATTATAACCTATATAATTCTTGCCTTCGTATATTATGACTGCATTTATAAAAAAGTATAAATCTTGTTGTTACCAAAATTTCAACACATACTTTGATTTTTGTCTTTGCGACGTCGTGAGCGCAAAATTAAGAACATAAGTAGCGTATGTATTCTTGCCGATTCTTTTATATATCTGTTCCAAATATCAAGGTCCATTAATCCATTTCAGAGATTAATAAATCTAATCTTTTGTACATATATTAAAATTATAATAAGGTGTATGATGTTGAACTATAATTGAACTATAATTTTACAGGTTTCCAAGATATTGTTCAACACATAAGAGCACTATAGAAACACATCTCACACATTTTCTAAGCAGCAATAACAACTATGATGTCATACAAGCAGCTAAATGTGCTCAAACTTTACAACAGGTAACAATTTATAAATGAATGTAGTAAAAATATCTGTGATCCTTATTTTAAATTTCTTAACTAGTATATTTCACACCTTGTAATACTATAAGGTGTTTCAATGAGATTCCACTGTTAAAGGTTAGTATGTTATTGACATGCGGCAATATTATGGGGATATAAACAAGAAAGTATTAAGATTTGATGGCTACAAAGGTTGAGAAGACAAAAGAATCATGTTTGGATTGAAATAGGTACTTGGTTTGAAAGAGTATGTTCTTAAGTAGGAATTGAATTCCGATATGATAGCTGATGAAGATGTATGGAGGTCATACAGTGCCAACCCTCGGTATGGACAAGGGCAGGTGGATGATGAATGATTTCTAGCTGTTTTATAACAATATATGTTTGCTATTGTTGTTTTACAGCAATATACCTTATACATGTATTTGTTTCTAGGTACCATGGCCACAAGAAAAAAGTGCAACAGCCAAGTCAGCCTGGCGGGATCAGATGACTCTCCTATGTGATGCAGCACATTCCCTTATTGATGCACTATTTATTGACTCTGTTGAATTATATCAGAGGAGCAGTAAAAAGGTTTGATATTGAATTCTATATTGCAACAGTGCAACAGTGCAAATTCCTAAATGAGATGTAATTCTTTTCATTTTAAACTAGCTTTCGCCCAGGATCCTGTTGGTGCAGGATTAAAAAAACAAGCGTGTAGCCTACATCTGTACAAAATTTCATCGAGATCCATTCTGCAGTTTTAGCTACAAACTCTAATAAACATCAATCTAAACTTTCACATTTACAATTTTAGTAAGAAATAAGATACAAGTTGTACTATTTTAAAGGAAAATGACATCTATTGAGTTAGTATTTCCATATTTGACTTAAATTAAATTAATTCATACAATTTTACAAACAATAATGTAGTTTTATTTACTTAGTTCCTAATTTATATTTTTTTAATTAGTAAGTAATGCAATTATCTTTATTTCAGAAGGATATGCAGAAGAATTCAAATTCACCGCTTACATTGGCATTGTCCAAAATAAATTCTACTGCAAATTCAGGTGCAACAAACAGACAAGTTTTGTTACATACTCGACTTAGAAACGTATTCATTTTCATACAAGCTATGATTGTGTAAGTAATATTTACTCTCTCGTAATACACCAATGACCAAATATTAAAACAAATCTTTAATTACTTATTAGAAAGTGCCCCTAACTATCTAATATCAATTTGAAAGGAATTTGGAGTTAAAACATGGCCTAATTTAAAACGTCACATATTTAAATTACTTTTTCAATATTCGGCCATATAAATAAGGGTTGGAGCGCGCACACGTTTGACTAAACTATCGCACAACTGTTTAGTCATGCTTTGATTCCTCTGAGCTTATATGGAGGTCACACTACTCGATTTTCAGTTGTGCAACTAAACAGTTCAATTGGCTGCGAAACAATCGACAATCAAATGTTTGTTTATCACATTTCATAATTAATATTGTAAATGCGAAAGTTTAGATGAACGGATGTTTGTTAGAGTTTGTCGCCTTAACGGCTGAACAAATTTCGATGAAATTTAGTATAGATGTGGAGGATAGCCTGGAAGAACACATAGGCTCATTTTTGTTTTCTTTAATTCCACGCGATCGGAGTCGTAGCTAGTATTTTTTTTTACAATATGAGGTGGCAAACGAGAAAGCGGCCACCTGAATCCACCGAAATAGAAAGCCACCGCTGCCCATAAACATCGCAATTGCAGATGCGTATACGATACCCTTCATTGACAGAGGAGGAGACACACATAAAGAGTTTTTCTTTTCCTTCCCATTCTTTCCTCTTAAGAAAAAGGTGGAAAAGGAAAGGGACTAAAATTAGGCCTCCGGCACCACACTTATCAGACGAAACGCGGAATTGCTTCCACTTCACGCCTGTTTTCTGTGTGGTCGTGGTGTTACACCGGGCGAGCCGGCCCATTCGTGCGAAGATGTTAAAGCAGGCTCTGCCACTTGCAAAATATACAATAAATGTTAACACTTAAACTTTATTGTTACAGTGAGATTTATCCAGTTCCAAAACCGATACAGCCACAGACTATATTGAATGTAATAGTGCGTTCGTTGAGTGTTACCAGTGCCAAGAAATCTCAAGTCACAGATGTTGGTCCGCTTAAAATCCAAGCACTAAGGACACTAGATGCGCTGATTGCTTGGTAAGAAATTATTATATTATTAATCTTGTTATATTTAGCTTATTAGCAAAAAGTGTAATATTTTATTGTGGTTGTAAGTTTATTTTTATTTATGTGGATTTGTATGTATGTAAATTCTATTGTAATAGATTACAGTCTAAATGGCGGAACTGGTTTGAGTGTCATTAGTTATCATTAAGTACCTAAAGAGGCTGTGATAATTAATATTTTAGAAAATAAATGTAAAGACCTAGTTTGGTTCTCAAATATCATAATTTTCTTTTTTATTCCTGAATAATTTTCAATGTCCTTGAGTATTTTTATCAATTTGACTTAGAAAGTTGGGGTTTTTGTTTTAAAGTCAAGTTATTGCAAATTTAATTGATTTTTATTATTACTATGATAAAAACCAAGTTTATGTAGGTTTTAATTTCTACTACAATGTATAGGTCTATAAATTCATTATTCCCTACATTATTGTTTAACCTTATAAGTAAATGCTGGTAAATGTTTTATTTCAGCCTCGGAGCAAACTTGATACCATATTCACCGCTAGTATTTAGAATAGTGATGCAAACATTCAGATGGACATCGGACAACCAAACTGAAAGCTCAAGGTAAATATAGTGTTAATAAAATTTTCATTAATGTTTTTCTAACATATTAATATGTAGAATACTAAATTTCTGTTATAAATTTTAATATTTCAAATTTGAGGTTATCTGTTTTAAATGGTGGCCTTTGTTACTGAAAAATTAATTTAATTTAACTAAAATAAACTAAGTATAATGTATCTAAACATTACAGCCACATCAAAATCTATGTTATACTAGCCTTTCCCCGCGACTCTGTCCATGTGGAATTAAAAAAAAAAAACAAAAGTAGTCTATGTGTTCTTCCAGACTATGCTCTATATTTACCAAATTTCATGTAAATTAGTTCAGCCGTTTAGGCTATAAACTCTAACAAACATACATCCATCTAAACTATCGCATTTATAATATTAATATGATGGGTAACAATAATATATGGGTATTTGTATGGTGGAAATTTTGTTAGGTTATGATCACATGGTTTTTTTGAATACCTGAAAAATTACTTTTTTGTATTATTTTTTTTATTAAATAGTATTGATAATTAGCGCAGATTAACAAATAACATAAGAATACGGAATATATTAAAATAGTTAAAGAGTTAACATTTGAACATATCGTATGAATGTGATAATTTACAGAGAAGTCCGCAGCCACACTTACCGCAGCGCGGGCGGCTGGCTCAGCGCCCTGGGGCTGCGGCCCGCGGGCCTCGCGCACGAACACGAGCTCGCGACTCTAGTCATACAAGACATCACGCCTCTACAGAAAACAGTACAACTCACTGTAAGTTATTTTTTATAAGGTGGCAAACGACCAAGCGGCCACCTGGCCAATGCGTTGCCTACCCTTAATCAACAGACGCATAAAGAGGATATTTCCTCTTACTAAGCCTCTCCTCCACTTCCCCATTCCCTTTCCATCCTATTATGAGAAAAAGGATGGGAAGAAAAAAGGACTAAAGTTAGGCCTCCGGTACCACAATTACTCCCACTTGACGACTGTCTTCTGTGTGGTCGTGGTATAGCACTGGGCGAGCCGGCCTTACAGTGCGAAGATGTTAAAAAAGGATCTACCACTGTTAAATATAAGTAATAATCTCGGGTCGAAGTATACTTACTTATATAAGTAAATATAAGTAAGTATACTTCGACCCGAGATGTTATTGCACCATTTCATTCTCTTTGATAAAACAAAATCTTAGCTATGTAATTTATTACATTTAAATATGTGGGATCTTTTCATTAATTTATCTATTAATTTTACATTCATCATCATCACCACCACCATCATCATCATCATCATCATCCTCCTTATCCTACTCCCGTAGGGTTATATAATATAAGATCCAATTTTCTATAATTTTGTATAAGATTATATACTATATATATATAGTAGTATATATATAGTATATATATAACGTTTGATCAAACAGATGAGTGGAGGACAACCTTTGAAAAATCTAAGTAAAAAAGCTAGAAGAAAACTTCAAAATCAAATGTTAAAAGATAGTTCAATATCTTCACACATTCCAGGAGAAAAGAATAAAGTTGTTGAGTAAGTTTTTTTTTAATATATCAAATATATTTGTTTAAAATTTATAATCTGTATCATTATTTTTTTTCTTTTTATTGTAGATTTGAAGATGTCAAAAATGACATAGCTATGGCATCGTTGGGTTTTGCAGAAATATTCTTGTCCGTTTGTGGTGTTTTTATGAAACCGACTACGCATAAAGTATGTACACATTTTATTACAATACTAGCTGTTCCCATGTGGCTTTATCCGCTTGAAATTATAAAAACATTGTTGTTTACATTTTTATTATAGCAAGTGTCATAATGCATAAAAAACAACGAAGGGTACTGACATTAGCTAATAATTACCGTTATCATGGCAACCTTGCTTCTTTGATTCTATTAGCTTGTAGTTTTTCTCCCTTTCCCACATGACTGTTTTCTAATTTATTTATCCTCTACATCTAATAGCGTGAAAATATATTGGTTAAAGCGTATCGTAAATGTAGGTCTTTTTATTACAGAGTAATTATTAAAAAAACTCGCTGTGATTGCTTCTTATATAACTATGTTGACGTTTTATTATATTAGTATAGATATAGGCATATGTTGTGTTTTTAAATAATAATAAAATACTTTTTTTCCAGTTATTTCAAGAACATTTAGTCCGTCAATGTTTTAATGCTAATTTATACTCTGATGAGTATGTTCTAGCATTATTACGTACGTTGGAAGTTTGTAGAAAAACTACTCCATCGTCAGTGCCGCCCCCCACGCAGTACTGTCTGCAGCTATATAGTACTCTATCAAATAACCAATGTATAGAGGTAAATTAACTAAAACAATGCGAAAGTATAGATGGATAGATGAATGGATGAATGGATGTTTGTCACTATTTTATTTTTCTACGCGGAGTCGAGTCGAAGCCGAGTCAGCCTGATCGAGTGTATAATCTTGTGTAAAAGATCTAGTAATACTTTAAAAAAATATCTTAATACATTATGGAATCTTTTTATTAATAAAAATTAATGTATGAGCAAACAGACTTTTAAAACTTTCTAAGCGTACGCCGCTTATTTAATGGTATTTTATTTACTATTATAAAAAAAACTATATTTCTAGTACATACATATTTAACTAACATGGCTAGTATTAGTAATAATCATAAATTTAATAGTACCTTAAATTATTAACAATTTTATTATTATTTTAGATATCGAGATTCTGTTCGCAAGCATTACTGGATATAAGAATGCATTTACATTGCTCTCCGCCTACAATTAACTTTGCTCTAGAAGTGCCAAAAGAAACCCACATACAAAAATCAATGGTTGTATCCGAAAGAAACAGAGAGGCATTGAAGAAACTTTTAGGAGACAGGTATGTGTATTTTAAGAAACATAAGACTTTTAGAATTGACATCATGTATTAATATTGCTTATTAATTAATAATTACAGATTGTCTGATGAAGAAAATATTGAAGTAATTACAATCCGCGATGAACCAACAAAGAAGAGACCACGATTGGATCAAGATAATATAAGTTTGAGCAGTGAATCTATCTGTTCTGTTGAAATAACTGATTCTTCTAAAGATGGGACAGAAGAATTAGAAATTGAAAGAAATGAAGAGGAAATTACTGAAGATGCAACTACTAATGATGAAGATATGGACGTACAAAATACTACAGAAGTAACTGCGAATGAAATTGAATCTCAAGTAATTGATTCTGAAAAACTATCAGAAAATGTTGACGAGACAGTAAATGAAAACAACAGTATATATGAAGCTAAAACTCAGATAGATACAAATGTATCGAATGACGAAGATGACAACCAAACATTGTCTATGGAAGTAGCTTACGATTTACCAACTGCGGTCGATAAAGTGAGAGTTTTAGATCAAGTAGATGATGATAATCTACCAAGCACTAATGATACAGACGATGTACAAATAACTTGTGGTCAAGTTGCCCTAACTTCACAAGATAACGAAATAAATATAACAAAGGAAGTTGATGAAATAGCGTTAGTTGTTGACAAAGAAGAGACAATTATAACGAACGAGTCAAACGATAATGTTGAAAAAATTAAAGATACAATAACATCTAATTGCGAAGTAACTAACGAGGCAGAAATTAATCCAGAAGTAACTAAAGACGTTACTGTTACTACAGATGAAACACTAACTAATGGAGCTGAAAAACCTAATGGTAACATTAATGAAATGTTAACTCAAATACCTGATAATTTGACAGATAAATTATCTAAACCAGACGGTATTTCAGTAGAGGACATGATGGCTGATTTTGTAGATGAAGTTAATGATCAAACTGCGGAAGCTTAATTAAAAACTTTTTTTTTAGTATTTCGTAAGCGTAATTTGTATCTTATGTCAATAGAGATATTTGCCCTTATTTATATAAATGAAGCTTTTGTGCTGTATGTCGCTTATTGTTCATTCCTAATACAGTGTGTTTGTTCTTTAAACTCTTGTTTTATTTTTACTTATTTTACTCTTAAACTAGTATTTGTATTTGAAACAATTGAAGAAATGGATCGATTTCTAATCTTAAATTAAGGCATGTTAAAAGGAATTAATATTCTTATAATTAAGATAGTTTTTTAAATTTAGGTTTGTTTGGAGTAAAACCTGGTATCTAAAGCTGCAAAATTCAAAGATCAATAAATTAAAACTATCAATGTCAGTTTGACGTTTTCTTTATCAATTTTGCTGAAGCCGCAATTTGTAAACAATCTTAAATTTTGTAATAAAAATCAAGTGGTGTAATAAAAACCATGGTTACTGCGATTGGATTTGAGGGAAGTGCCAATAAGCTTGGCGTTGGTATTGTTAAAGATGGTAAAATCCTTGCTAATTGCAGGCGTACATACATCACTCCGCCTGGAGAAGGTTAGTCGCAAATTACGATTAATATATTAAATCAATTGAAATATTAAATATAAAAATAATTTTTAATTTTACATTTTACATACATTTATATTGCATAAATCTCGTTATTTAGTTAGTTAGAAAGATTGTCGTTTTTAACATGTGATACATAGAAGCATGCTCCATACTGATTCTATTAACATACGTTATGATTTACTTTGAAATTCAGTGGGATTAAACTTTATCCAACCGTAAACCAGATTCATAGTATGTGAGAAAACATATTTTCAGTAGCATAACATAAATCTTAAAAGGAAAAACAGAATAAAGAATTTTCATTTATTCATAAGCAATTACTGAAGAAAGTCTTTTATTATCCATTGTGTTTGGTAAATGAATGTTTATTTTTAACAATTATCTAGCTAATATTATAAATGCTAAAGTTTAGATGGATGGATATTTTTTAGGTTTTAGCCTAAACTGCTGAAAGGACCTCAATGAATTTAGTCTCAAATTTACAAGATAGTCTGAAAGAAAACATAGGCTGTTTTTTTTTTGTTTTGCACGCAAAAGCTAGTATGTGAATAAAAATTATTAAATAGTATATTCTTTCAAGGTTTTCTACCCCGTGAGACAGCAGAACATCATCAGGAGAACATCCATACAGTAATGCGAGAGGCATTTGCTGAATCTGGTCTTTCTCCTCGTGATATTGATCTGGTGTGTTACACGAAGGGTCCAGGGATGGGTGCACCATTGCTGGTTTGTGCTATCGTAGCCCGCACTTGCTCTAAGATATGGAACAAGCCAATCATTGGAGTCAATCATTGCATTGGGCGTATCCTTTTTAAACTAAAAATACATTAAAAGAATATTCAAAGTATTGTCTTTTTCTTAGACTTACAGTTTTGATCTTCAGAATTTGTTTTCTTTATGTATTTATCCGAATTTTGTTTTGTACACTTATTTTAGTAAAAGGCTGTTTAAACCAATTACAGCTTTTAAATAATACCACAGCTTCTCATTGGAAATATAATAAACAATCAAACTTAAATATCATATAACATATGTCTAGGTATTCCCTGGGGTATTACTTTTTGGATAAATATAATTTCCTTAACCAATTAAATCTAGATATTGAAATGGGGCGCCTCATAACAAAGGCTAAAAACCCAACAGTACTTTACGTGAGTGGAGGGAACACGCAGATCATCGCCTACTCTCGCCAGCGATACAGAATCTTTGGGGAGACAATTGATATTGCTGTTGGGAACTGCTTAGACAGGTATTTAAACATTGATCTAGTTTTTAACTTACTAAAATTATAAATGCAAAAGTTTAGATGGATGGATGTTTGTTAGATTTTGTAGCCTAACTGTTAGGCCAACCAATCTCAATAAAATTTGGCCTATATGTAGAGGAGAGTTTGGAACACAGGCTACTTGCTTTTTTTTAATTCACGCTGGTGATAGTATTAAACAAAATTGGTTTGTATTTAAAACTTTACCAAATGTACAGTGTTTTGATTGTTTTATAATTAAGGATAGTTAAAGGAAGAGGATATGACAGTGTAGAGCAATATTTTATTATTAATTATGTTTCAGATTTGCCAGGGTGTTGAAATTGTCCAATGCACCCAGCCCCGGCTATAACATTGAGCAAGCCGCTAAAAAGGGAAAGAAATATTTACACCTACCCTACAGTGTTAAAGGTAATTTTTGTTGTCACTTAATTTGATAACAATTTCTCTTACTCAAATAATACTAGTTTAAAACCCTCACAGATGAATGCTTAAATATTTAAATATACAACAGGGTTTTAAATGAAAAGACCACACTTAAACTCTAAAACAATTCAATTTTGACTTCTGTCGCATCGTAAAAGAAAATTGTATAAAAATAGTTTCACTATTTGCCTGTTAAAAGCACTTTTACACAAAAAACTGTCATAGGTATGGATGTGAGTTTCTCCGGCATCCTTTCGTACATGGAAGACAAGATTACTGAGCTGCTGAAGGAGTATACTCCTGAGGACCTGTGCTACTCGCTGCAGGAGACTGTCTTTGCTATGTTGGTGGAGATTACTGAAAGGGCTATGGCACACTGCGGCTCCGAGGAGGTTAGTATAATCATTTTTAGTCATTTGGTATCACAGTTTTGGTTTACTTTTGTAATAAACTTTTTCTTACAATATCTTCAGGTACTTATCGTAGGTGGGGTAGGTTGTAACATCCGTCTGCAGGAGATGATGGGTGTGATGTGCGCTGAGAGAGGGGCGAAGCTGTTCGCTAGTGATGAGCGCTTCTGTATTGATAATGGAGTTATGATAGCCCACGCTGGAGCCCTAGCTTACCAATCCGGAGCTAAGACTGACTTTGCGGACTCCACCATCACGCAGCGGTACCGCACTGATGATGTACTCGTCACCTGGCGTGATGATTAAGTCTTGACGTTTGCAGCATTCTTCCACTGAAGGATTTGTCGCGCACGACTGCAGCAGTAGTGGAAATGGTTTAAAGTAAACTTAAGCTTTTAGAAAACTGTCGAGCGTTAGTCCCGTTAGTGGAATATTATCTTTCACACCGGTGTATTTAAACATTTTGTTTAGAAATTATTACAAATAGACATTTATAGAACACGCCAAGATTTCCTAATTAACATTACCCTTTTAAGTTGATATTTTGCATCTGAAATTATATCTGATTTTAAAGCCAACTTATGACAATTTTAACAGAACAGTTTGTTGAGTTTAGTCGTCAAAAATTTACATGAACAGTTCAATTGATATTTAACCTTTTTTCCGAACTGTTTAATTAAAATTGTCAGTAGTGACTAGTAGGCTTAAAATGTATAATATACAAGCAATTTAAATTAAATTGGTTAGTAATATACCTAGAGAGTTTCTACTTTCAACCTTAGATGTTCAAACTTTCTCGAAATTTGGTAACATTTAAGCGGCCATATTTAGGCTGAATTAAAATTGATTCTGGCAGAAATCAATGCATAACAGTAACCTTATTTTATCTGCATAAAATATGTTAACTACTAGAGTTTTTTTTTTAGGTCATAGTTATATGATTTTTTATTGTTCTTTATCTTTAGTAAATAAGAATAGCAGCAGGTCTGTGTAATTATAAGTCTTTTCAAGTACATTTTCATTATTTTAAAACATCCAAAGAAATTTCTTTATACACTTGTATAAAAATTATATAATCAACAACTATAAAACATGACATTGAAAATCATTAATGTACTTACAATATTTGAATATAATTGTTCCTTATCTTTGGAAATTATAGAAAAACAGCAGGTCTGTATTAAGTATAAAACACGGCATTTAATAAATATAATTAAGATGTAGCAAGATTTTAAACCAAATATGCTATAACAATTTTTTTATATTAATTTAAACTGAAGCGTATTTGATCTTTCAAATGACGACTCGAATTTGAAATCGGATATCGTAACTATGAGTTTTAACAGCAGTAACACAAACATATAGTCATCTCTCTCTAATCCCTTTTGTCGGAAAGAGAACAATGTGCCATCTGAAGCTCAGTTACATTTTTCGTTATGAAATCGAGTTTTATTTGTTTATTATCCAGTTTACAATATTCCAGTCCAAAGCATACAGCACTGTACAAATGGAATAATATAATCGAACACAAAGTGTAGTTTAGTCTTTGTGCAGTATGCCAGTTTTCATTGCAATTGGTTTGCTGTACTGGAATAATGTAAACTGGGCATTACAATTCTTTTACATCTTCATTCGTATTTGTTCTACGGATGTAAACTGCAGGGTTATTTTTATTATTTGATTATTGTAGTGATTACTTTTAATATTGATGTGTAATAAAATAAAATTAAATCTAACTTGTTTTATTTTTTACCAGTTTCATAACGTGTTTTATTTTAGTTCTTAAAACTAAATTTAGGCATAAGATTTTTCTTTATGAGTTTAAGTTCCCTACTGAATCAGGTGCTTGCAAATTTATTAATTTCGTAAATAAATAAAAGCTCCAGTACAAATCAACCATTTTAATATTTGTTCAACACAATACAACCAAATCCATTTGATATTCGTAAAATATTTTAATACGAGCTTGCATAGATAAGAAACTTTTGCTTGTGTTAAGATTTTTCCCGACCTACTCTATTTTGGACCATATCATTTTTAATTTTTTTGCTATAAAACTTCTGGAATGTTCAAATGTTAGTTTTGTCTGAAAAAAGTAGTCCCTTATCTTTACAAGCCTCTAATATTATAACTCAATAAATAAATTGCATTTCATTTCAAATAAATACAGCATTTCAAGTAATATTTATTTTATTCAACACAATAAATGTGAAATTAAACTTTACATAAAACGTAAATAATAAATATACATTATCCGATACTAATGTACTAATTTATTGCATTACGAATACTCATTATAAATACAATTAAAAAGTATCCGAGTAAACTTAACACTATTTTAAAATACGTTTCATTAACTATGAAAATGCAAACCTAACCTTACTGTGGGTTTTCAACTTCTGTGACATGTATAGTCATCTCGCTCATTCTCTTATTAATAGGCAGTGACAAATATGCATCGAAACAATATTTAACAGTGGTAGACGAATAACTTGCCCCAAAAATGCTACGACAGCCGCCCAATTAGAAGTAATTCTGCATTTCATTTGAGTATGCATTCCAGAGGCCTAATTATAACCCCTTTTCCTCCCCACCCTTTCTTAAGAATTAGATTTGAGAAAAGGATGTATGAAGTTTGAAAGACCCTATATCTGCGTGCCCCCACATAGATTAAAAGTAGGCAACACATGCATTTATGGATGTCCGTGGACAGTGGTTGATCTGCTATTTCGGCGAACTCTGTTAGCTGTTTATTCGTTTAAGTTAAATACGTAATAAAAGGTGTCACAGAAGCCAAAACCTGAGTTTAGCTACACTTTTTAAAATTCACGAATCGGCTCTAGACTTACATTTATGTTATTGGACCAATGGACATTTGGTCCAGTTAGCATTCATTTATCAAGTTATTTTAGAGATAAGACTTTTACTAAATTTTATGAATTTTGCAACATTATAATGCAAAATTAATAAGTAAATAATACCAATTGGCAAATTTATTGGTATATCAAAATATTTTGGTACCGCTGTATGTCACATAAAAATAAATATTTTGATAATTATTATCTTGTGGCAATATCAATACTTTGTAATGAAAAAGTTGTTAAATTAACAAGATTTTAGACGAGACAAAACAAGCTAAACCATTGTTTATTTTAAATCTATACATATATCAAAACTGGAGTATCTGTTTGTAAAATAGACAAAAATCCAGGTTACGGTAAGATGTATTTGCGTTGCTGATACGAAAACAGCATTTAAAAATTTTTTGTCTGTCTGTCCGCAAGCCGAGTTTGTTCCGGGTAATCTCCGAAACGGCTGGACCAATTTCGATCGAACTTTGACTGAAGGGTAGCTGACATAGACGGGCATATCATATGCTACTTTTTTGTCTTCATATTGCACGAAGTCGCGGGCAACAGCTAGTTGTCAAATAGATTCACCAACATTTGGATTTTATATTTATTCCAAAAGTAGCTTTCGCCCGCGACTCCGTCCGCGTGAAATTAAAAAAAAAAAAACAAAAGCCTATGTGTTCTTCCAAACTATCCTCTACATCTATACTAAATTTGATCGAAATCGGTTTAGCCGTTTAGGCTACAAACTCTAACCAACATTTATCTAACTAAACTTTTGCATTTATAATATTAGCATGATTTATTTAAAAATGAATACAATAATAATGTATTTTGACAGAGGATAAAGTAAAGAGCACAAAGTTAAGTTTATATATGATACAGTAGGTAGTTTTTAAAGGTATTGCAATTCACAATGAAGTAAATAACATTATGTATAATTTTGTTATTTTTTAGATAATCTTATTTTCATGTTATGTTTGTATGTATGTTTTAAAAATTGATGCTTTTTTATATACATTGTTTTATTATTATTGCTTTATTTATTTAATGCATACTTGTAAATCATTCAAAATGTATAAAACTTTAGATTTTTTTTAACCAGAACTACATACAAATTTTTAGCAAATTTCAACATACATTTTAACTGTTATTTTATTAATATGGTAACATCTAGTGCTTAGAGTATTTGCAGAAATGTACTTATCTAAATTGTTTATTATTCCAACTAAATAAAATTTAGGTTACATTCCATTCATAATTATAATTTTAATTTAAAAATATGGTCATATGAAAAAAATGTATGAACCACATCACAGATTCTGCAATTGCAAAATTATCTATGGATTTAACAAAAAATACCTATGCCTACCTTCAACATCACTCAAATCACAAAAAAAAATTATCAAGCACATCACTATCTCATTCTCAGTTGGCAGATTTCTTGGCTTTGTCCTAAGTTTGTTAAACTTTCTTTTCATAACAAACTCTCATTTCCATACAATCCTGTGTAGATAATTATCCATGTCACCTGTAACAAGTAAATACATTGACAACCAATAGCATACTCGGTTATACTTGGTTATTGTAGTCTATTGGTTAAATTAAACCTTATTTCAATTGTATAAGGTTTAATTTTTAACAGACTTCAAGAAGGAGGATGTATGTTAGTCTTGGGCTTAATCGGACATCTGCAAGTGCGCACCATACTAGTACAATTGGAAAAACGTACAAGTACACACTTTTAGTACCTTTAGTACTTCAGATTTGTGAGAACACAATGAAAATAATAGAATATAACGAGTGTTATAGATTACTTCACATCAAATTTAAAGCAGTGTCAAACATATGTTATTAGGGAAAATAAATTTAAGTTATAAATGATATTATTCATTTTTTATTCTGATTACCGAAGGATCTAGCAAATATACAACCAAATCAAACAACGAATAGGCGAACACCGATATCTGGTAGTGTACTAAAAGTGCCAAATGTCTGATTAATAAAAGCCGTTCAGTACCATTACTTTTTAGTACATTGTTTGTGTACTACCCAAGACTAATGTATGTACAGTCACATAAATATGCGGTGTTTAACTTACAAAACATTGCCTTGTTTCTTGGATATTTCTTAAGTGTTAAATGTAAATTTATGTATGAAAATTTACTATAGAAATAGGCAATGTCTTACCAAAAATCCCGCAGAAGCTGTCAATAATCCTTCTTTGTAGATCTCCCACACACCATCATATTCATCTTCATCTATCTTTTGGTAATTGTTGATGTAGAAATAAACCACAATTGTATTCACAAGCACAAATCTAAAAATAATTAAACATTAAAAGTATTGAAAACACAAAGGAAATCTGTAGTTTCCCTAGTTTAGTAATTGTCCAAAGTTATTCACTTATTTAAAAATAAGGATTTTCTGATCATAACAAAAGGCAATCGAATTATATATAGAACATTCTTTAATTTCTATTTTTATTAAAATACTCATGCAACATCTTATTTTATTTTACTAATACATCTGTAACTCTTCTGTCAATGTAAATGAAATATGTTTAATATTCTGTTACATGAGTAAAATAAATTATTTTTATTATAAATAAATATGAAAGTTTAGATTGTTAGAAAGTATCTCCGAAATCTATATACAAAGTTGTAGAGCATAATCTGGAAAAACAGATGATTCACTAAGTTTTTATTTTAACATAGAGCTGCAAGCAATAGTTAGTCTAAATTAAAAGATAAATAATTACTTACAGTAAGAATCCAATAAAACCCTTCAAAGGTATAAGACCCCAACAGAGACCTAGTATGATGCCAATTATCTGTCTCATCCAGTAGATTACGTCTAGAAACTCCTCCTAGAGTAAGCAAAATCATTTCCAGTCAATAAAATAATATAATAAAATTTTAAATAATAGTCCTATTAACAATCTTTAATATAAGAGAGGTTATATCTCGAAATCAATTTACTGTAAAGGATAAATATCCAGAAAGGAACTGAGAACTTTTATGTAAGGATGACATATTAATAGGACGAGGACAAATTTACTTTGATAAGATTTTAAATCATATGTAAAACAAACAGTTGCCGTACACCAGCAATGGCATCGTAAAGTTTTAATGCAATAGTATTTGAAATGATCAAGAGTCCCGTGATCCAAACTAACCTTGTCGGACCATTCTGTGTCTGCGGTAAATGCTCTCGTCCAAAGAGACTCTGTAACTTTTCCCTTACTAACACCATCTGATGTTTTATTTTTAGTCGACATGTTTATTGTATTAACTTCTTTCAGTATATTTATTAATATTCAATCGATATATTTCGATTAAAGTACGTAATGTCAACATGAAAGTTACACGTCACTGTCAATTTGACAACAACGTGGAACGTTTCATAATTTATGTATAGTCCGCTCACCTATTGTGGCACCTTTTTGACATTGGCAGGATGGCGCCTCTAAGCATTTAGGGTTACCAGCAAGGTAATATGTCCGCAATAAAAGGAAATTCTTTCCTTTTGAAAACGAAAACGCAAATTGTAAAGGAAGTACCTTACAATGTAACTAGGAATTGCCCCAGACTTTGTTTGTCGGTGAGAAGACTCTATAGTTAAAGAATCTTTGTAGCAAACTTTTAACAATGCACTCTGTTGATTTGAACTGTGCGTTTTAAAATTATCAGACAATTACTTTTATATCTATACACCAGCTGATTGTCAGTGTAGTTGAGCGTTACCGAACAACTGTACTGGCCTGCTATCCAAAAGGGTGATAGAGAAAAAGAAATATAAAGCCAACGTTTATTCTTAAAAACTACAATGTGGGGGTTATTCTATTCTTCAAGCGTTCTAATCTTTTATTTTCCATGTTGCGTGTGATATCCCAGCAATGTTCAGTCAAGGTGTCGCGGCCGTGCGACAGACTGACCAGTCTGGCCAACACCAGATGTCGGTGCAGGTCGTCCGCACTGAACGGATTCTCAGTGTCCGCTTTACGCAATTCTATAAAATCATCTTCTACAAACTGAAAATCACATATCAATTAATTAAAAACGTTTCCCTCTTAATGGGCACTAAAATGTTACTTATAGTCACGGAGAGATTTAGAATTTTGTCATTTTATAATCTTACTACTTAAATATTAAACCTGTTGCTGTTCTAACTTGAGTAGGCAACATTTTAACTACAGTTGAACTTAACAAGTCAGAATAGTTTTACTATTCAATTAAAACTGTCAGTAAGAAGTTTGCGCGCGTCTGTAGCAGGTCTTCAATTCAAAAATGTGTTGCCACTTTTTACCAATAGTTTATCAATTTCCAAGTTAAAACATATAATTTTGCTTGTGTGCTTAAAATTTATTTAGATTGAATATTTTTATTGCGTACCTTTAAATCTTCAGTGACAGTATATTTGACAAGTTTCAAGTTGGTTAAATATTTTCTGATTGTATTCATAATTTCTTCCTTTAAATAATAAGTAGCGGCTTCCACTATAGCATCAAATATCTCCAGAGATGATTCCTCAGGTTTCAGGGGAATGTGATAATCACTCTGTAAAGTATTTAAAAATACTATTATTAATTAGAATTATTTTTTCTCAACAAGCTTTAATTGTTTCATGTGATATTTTGGCTTCCTATATTAAATAAATAATTTATTGAAATTCAGTTAATTTATTAATTATATGGTATTTTTAATATTATTTCTACTACTTAAAATGATCAGTTAAAAAGATTTTATTGCCCTCACAATATATTTGAAAAAGGGGATAAGAAAAACATCGGTATTTGCAAAGATAAGAACTATTCTTACAAAAGATAACATATTTTCTTCCTCTAAATTTTTGTGACAGAAGAGTTTTTGAGAGTGGTAGAGCTGTGGTGAGTGGTAGAGTTTTTTAACAGTGGTAGAGCCCGCTTTAACATCTTTGCACGAATGGGCCGGCTCGCCCGGTGTAATACCACGACCACACAGAAAACAGGCGTGAAGTAGAAGCAACTCCGCGTTTCGTCTGATGAGTGTGGTGCCGGAGGCCTAATTTTAGTCCCTTTTACTTTCCACCCTTTTCTTAAGAGGAAAGGATGGGAGGAAAAAGTGGATTGGACGGTGAAGGAGATGCATAGGAAGGGGAAATGTCCTCTTTATGTGCGTCTCCTCCTCCGTCAATTAGGGTAGGCAACGCATCTACAATAGCGGATGTTTATGGGCAGCGGTCGCTTTCCATTTCGGTGGATTCAGGTGGCCGCTTGCTCGTTTTCCACCTCGTAACCCTAACACTACTGAACTTTCATAACAATTATTACTAATTAATTATAGAAATATTTACTAAATTTCTTGCAGTTTTAATGTAATAGACATATAAATCTTACCGGCAACAGAGATTTTCCTTCAGACAGTAACAAAACTTTAATATCCGCATCGAATTCCATTTTATAATATTTAAAATCATATTCAACTTTCTGTGTAGTTATCATATTGCCTAATGCAGTTATGTTCCCTACTCCGGTCGAGTCTAGACGTCCTTGTTCCATTTTAGTCTCATCTAACACTAAATGCGTGTGTTTACTTAGTTGTAGAATACCACTTGTTAATCTATTACAATCATAATCTTTCCTACAAAAAAATACACAGGGTGAACAGAGATGTAGAATTCAAAGATATGGCACCATACCCTATAAGTTATTCAGTTATTTTGTAAAAATTGTGAGATTAATTAAATAACATTGTATAATAAAGGTAGATTTGTGTAATAAAGCAAAAATGTACTTTACCCAAAATATTGTAACTATAAAAATAGCAAAAAAATATTTTCTATAATAAATTATTTTAAATTTGAATCTAAAGAAATTTATTTTTCCAATTGGATTATGAATAGGATTTAACTGTATTTTTTAATTAATTTAAGGCCTGTCCCACCACTGGCTGATAAAGGCTCAGATAGCTTAAAAATGATGTCACTGTCAGATTAAGTAACAAAATCCGATATTTCCATCACATAGTTTACATGTTTGATTGTTATCAGACAATTTACAATTTGGTGGGACTGGCCCTTAATAATTAAATAAGTAATACTTACTTGGGTAATAAAGTCATAGTATTCAGATTATCAATTGTGAGAGGGAGATAGTAACTTTTCGTGACAAATTGTTTTATAATATCATATAGTTGTTTGGCATAATTTGGATATTTTTTAGTTGGCAAATTTGAGATATTCAAACAAAACTGTCCAAGTGCAAGGGTATCTTGTCTTAGATATCTGGAAATTAAAAAAATCATATAACTTGTAAATTTACACATATTAACACTTTATAAGAAATAAATTATTTTTCACATTTACTTTAATGAAAAATATTTTTTTGTCATATATTTTTATAACATGCAGTCAAATTTCCAATTGACAAAGTTTATAATTTGCAGGTAACTAATAAAACAGTAAACTAACTAAAATAAGGTGTTTCTCGTTGGGCCGATTGGCCTATTGGGAATTGTTTTCCTATTGGGTCCATTGACTGTATGGATTTGATTAGCTCAATAACAAATATCCCATTGGTTTGATAATAGGTGGGTATTGGCCCAAAGAGAAAACCTTAACTATGCTAACTTGTTACTAGTTCATGTAATTGATTTTTTTTTTGTAATATAAACTTACACAGATGCAATAAGGTGGCATATTAAATATTCAGCTGCCAATTCATCTCCAAGCAGCAGTTCCGTTAAAGCTTTTAAAAGATGCTCTCTCGCTGAACTGGCTTCTTCTAATACTTTTGCTGCAAAATATAATTACAAATGTAACCTTTACTATGGACAAGCTGTCCCAATGCTGCTTAATCCATATGAAATTATACAAACTTTTTTCTTCACATTCGTAAAAATTTGCAAAAATGATAATCAAAGCTTTTGCCATTGGATAACCATAACCATGACAATCTTGCTTTTTTGTAGCCAATAGTAGTGGCTTGAAGTTATTGATGCGTTTCCCCTAATTTTTTTTAATCTAGTTACATACAAAATTTTACATTTACAATAATACCAACCTTGATCAAAAGTTTCCTTTAACAATGGATTACAATGTTCAAGTTTCTTCACAACAACAGCATGGATCCTTGGAACTAAACTCGGTGGAGGGTTGTGTGTGATTATCTCCGCTTCTGTTTCACTCTCCGGCTCCAAGAATGAGTTATTTTCAGGTCGGAACTCACCGGACAGAGATGGATCAACAGATAAAAAGCCTATAACTTCTATCATATCATTTAATTTGAGATTTTCTGATTCATCATATATCTAAAGGGAGAAATTATTTTATAATTAGTTCTACAAGACCTGGCTTAATTAATTTCTGAGTTTTATTGATTAATGAAAGTCTTGTAGTCTACTATTAAAAAGAAATAGCATTTTAATTGATAAGGCCATAGTGAAACTCCAAATATCATCCATTACCAATTTTTAGGAGATTATTAAAATAAATAATCCCAAGTACAGTTGGTGACAGGCAGGCAGCCGGCTGCAAAAAATAGTGCCGAATCCAAAATTAGGTTTTTGATGGCAAAAATCTGCTGCGCCGACCCTACGGGAGTAGGATAAGCAGAAAGAAGAAGAGGAGATTATTAAAATATCTTCTCACCTTAACAATGCATGATTTACTAGGTACATCAGGTAATGGAAAGTTTAGTAAATGCTCTCTGGATACCACATTATTCCCTTCTTCAACTTTTTCCACAGTCTTAAGTTCCTTATTCCCGCAAACATTGTCTACAACTTCCATAGCCTCAGGGTCTCCTTCAGCCTCATCATAGCTTCTTTTGAATTTTGTATTTGTCAAGCTGAGTCGTTTTGTGGTATTAGGTTGATCATTTAAATGCTTCAAATGGTTTCTGCTATCCTCTATTTCTTGAGCCCACTCACTCAGACCAGGTAGCGAAACAACCACCATAGCTTGCCGCTGTGCACTTTTCAAATTTTCTGTATAATTAATTTTTTCATTCTCCTGCAATGAAGATTAATTTGTAATATCATTCATACGACATTCGAACCCAAAACATAATGCATAGTCGATAGTTAAATTTCTTATGAAGAAGAGAACTAAATATAATTTCAGAATGATTTAACTATATGGTAGGTGATGGCATCGGAGAATATGTGAGTTAAGCCATTTTTAAATAGTTTTTGATAAAATCTCACGAACTTTATACAATATAATAAAACTAACTTTTACATACCAGTATGTGAGCTGTATCACAGTATTTTCCAGATTTTACTTTGACTTCATTGGTAGAAGCATTATAAACTTCAAATTTTTCAAAATAAAACTCGGGATTATGCATATCCTGGACCATTCCACGAAACCGAACCAGTCTACCATCGGAAAAGTTATGAGAAGCATTCGAATTCAATAGAGGAATCTGTAAGGTTACATGGAGGTCAAAGAAAACAATATTTCCTATACAGAATTAGATTATAAATAATAAGAATCAATCAATACCTGATACCAATTAGTAAGTTTTGATAATTTGTTTTTCCAATTATCTTCATCAGACATCCACAAATCGGGAGTAACTGAGTCAAAATCATACGAAAAATCGTGCATTATGGTTTTAGTAAATTAAAATTCTAATATTCAACAAACACTGTTTGTTGAATATTAGAATTTTAATTCGTTATTTGTTTGTCAAACAGAAACACGTAAACGCTTAAAATTAAAATAACTTAGTTTAAAGGTAATTACAACTGTAGTCAGTCATAAAAAATATTTATAAAAACAATTTGAATATACAGGTACAATATTCACATTAACACTTTGACAGCCCGCGAAAAATATGTCATGAATGAAGTTCATACAGATAAGACAAAAATATGTTGGCTACATTTAGCTTTTAAAGATTTTCCAACAAATAAATTACATATACAAGAGAAGGCGTAAGTAAAACACAAAAGAAAATCCGTTTAAAACCTATTTATTGGATTATTGCTTTTAAATCTATAAGTTTTTATCGCAGGTTTTTTTGCACTGACCATTTTTATTTATAATCTGGTACTGTTTCCGATGCCGCCACCAAGCGCCAAGCCAATTTAAGTCGGTTTTTAATAAAAAGCTTAGTTAACAAGTAAAACTGGTAAACATTCTAACTTTATTTTACGGGTTTTGTGGTAACATTTGTAAGAAATTGGAAGTTCTCAACTATTCCATCATCTTTTACTAGTTGTACTATAACCACAAATCACAAAATGAGTAAGTTTTGCAATTTATTTATTACAATTGATAGCTATTCAATTCTTAAGTTCAAATAGACTGCCTTTTAAGATGTTTAGTCATTCGCTCTACATAATTCTAATAGATTTAAATGCAATGGAAAGCATAAACAGAAATCATAACCTAAAAATATATTTTATTCGAATTTAGTTTTATATGATAAAACCGTTATTTAACCTTATATTTAATGTAATTTCTTTTTCAGCGATGGATATTCGACCAAATCACACTATTTACATAAACAATCTGAATGAAAAAATAAAAAAGGATGAACTCAAAAAATCCTTATATGCAATATTCTCACAGTTTGGTCAAATATTAGACATAGTTGCTATGAAAACACTAAAGATGAGAGGTCAAGCGTTTGTTATATTTAAAGAAATAGGTAGTGCCACTGTTGCATTGAGAAGTATGCAAGGATTCCCTTTCTATGATAAACCTATGGTAAATATCTATTTTAAGTAGGTTACACTCTTAAATTTTCATTAAAAAAACCTGTGCTGTGGTGATGTAGTTAGAAATATACTAGTAATAATGCTTTCAATCCTTAAAATTGAGTCTATAATCTAATGTTTTAATATTTCCTGATTCCAGAGAATTCAGTACTGTAAAACAGATAGTGATATTATTGCAAAAGTCAAGGGCACCTTCCAAGAGAGGCCAAAGCGTCCCAAAGTACCTAGAAGTACAGAGGATGGTAAAAAGAAGAAAAACAAGGATGCAAGTCGTGGGGTTATACCTGGCTTCGGTCAACCCAATATGATTAACAATGTTAATGCAGAACAACCTCCCAACCAAATTCTTTTCCTAACAAACTTACCTGATGAAACATCTGAAATGATGTTGTCTATGCTTTTCAATCAGTAAGTATTTTACATTTTAACTATTATACCAATTGTTTGATCATAGATTCATGACACATTTTTCATCTACACTATAAAATTTTGTTACTACAATATTTATCTTTTGCAGATTTCCTGGTTTTAAAGAAGTCCGTCTTGTGCCAAACCGGCATGATATTGCATTTGTAGAATTCTCTAATGAAATGCAATCTGCAGCCGCCAAAGAAGCTCTGCAAGGATTCAAAATAACACCAACACATGCAATGAAGATAACATTTGCAAAGAAATAGTGTTTACTTTATATTTTAAATAAAAACTTTGTTTTTAAGAACTGTTTTGAGCATTGCACTACGCCTAAACAGCTCTTCTGCTGTGATATTATTTCTAAGGATGTACATTGTTTTCCTTTTGCATGTGCATAACCAGAAATCCTGGCACCTCCTGTTTAAGTGAAGTGACAACAGAAAAGCAAAAATAACTAAATTCTATCAATATATAAATGCTTGTCTTTGACTTTGCTTAGCTAGGTCAAGCCTGGAACTCAAAATATTGATCATTTTAGCATTTACAAATGGCTTTAAAGCAATGATCACCATAAATGTGCTTAAAGTTCTCAGAACTGGGCCATGAAATGTCCAAAAAAATATGTATGGCATGTTGGGTTACCATAGTCCACTTTTAAGATGTTGCTATTATTTTATACTAGCAACTCTAAATATAACCCGTTCAATTTAAAAGAGACGTTTGCCCTAAAGATTCCTTTTACAGATTCTACCAAGATTGTAGGAATATAGAAACTTATGAAATTAGCACAGTTATATTTTATTTTCGGTGATTGCGAAACTGTCAAAGTGGAGTAATAAATTACTCCTGTTGTGATTTTACTTCGTTTTATTTTTTGATAAAAGAAATCCATATAAATCTATTTAGATATCCTTATCAGACGTTCTGATAAATATTGACACAGGACAATCTTATTTCTATAATTGTTATCAGTGAAGTGTTAAAATGGAAGACATATTTCAGTGGTGTAGGGAAGGAAATGCTTTACAGGTGCGGGTTTGGCTTGATGATACAGAACATGACATGAACCAAGGGTAAGTTGAATTAATTTACGATACTCTAAATAAGCTAAAAGACTTGAAGGCCTACATCTGCCTTATAAGGCATAAGGAATTCGAGTATCGCCCACAGATGTTAGTAAAATATGTTTCACAGTTTTGTTTCATTGTAAGATATCTATGTGTCATAGGTCATCTTAGTATATAGCTTGTGACTTCATCGATAGCCTGTAAAATATCCTTTAGTTTATTGGCTATTCTAAATGATACATACATACAAAAATCTTGTAAAATTTGTTAATAAAAAAAGTTCATACTTAAAACAATATCTTTCATATCAGATTCAATTTAAAACTACAGGAAAAGTGAAAAGTATCTGGAACTCGAAATCTGTACTAATTATTTTTATGAAGTTGTATGACTCATGTTTAATTCGAAATCTCAATAACTGAGAAAAGCTTGTTTTCATACACACAGCTGCAGATAAATAATTAGGGTGTGGCAAGGCAGTGGTAATATTGTATAGAGTACCAACTTTACTAGTTAATAAGTTTACTCATACATGCCTGTGATAAATTTAAAAATATTATTTTTCCTCCTATATCATATACATTTCCCATTCAACTATATGTTTTAAAAGATGTAATTTTAACTTACTTGATGTAGTATGTCTTTGAACATTTTTTATAAATTTTTCTACAAGTAAATTGTTATTGGATGCACCAGGGAAGCGGTGTTAATATTATATATTTAAATAAGTTTTATTTATATTGTATTTATTCAATTTGTATGGAAATCCTTAATATTTGTTGACAGAGATGATCATGGATTCAGTCCATTGCATTGGGCCTGCAAGGAAGGTCACATCAAGATTGTGGAGATGCTTATTCGCCGTGGAGCTCGGATCAATGTTACCAATATGGGAGATGATACACCCCTACATCTAGCTGCAGCACATGGCCACCGACCTATTGTGCAACTGGTATGACAGTTAAAATAAATGAATAAACCCCTATCTATACTAATATTATAAAGATGCAAGATTTGTATTTTTTGTATTTCTTGAAATAACTCAAAAACTACTTGGCCTATTTTAAAAATTCTTTCACTGTTCAAAAGGTTATTTATCTTGAAGTAACATAGCTATGCTTTTTATTTATTTTTTAATTTCAAGAGGACAAAGCCGCAAGCAACAGTTAGTATTGATATAAAATTGTAATCCTTAAAATCGGTTGACCTTGCAATGCAAAGTGCACTCCTCTTGTATCAATACTCCTTAATTATTGCATCTCAGATGCAAACATAATTAAAAATAATTATTCTTTATGAAAATGTTCTGATGTCAAAGTTTAGTTTAAAAGTCTTTCTGGGCGTGGCAGTATTTAGTATTAAGCTGTCTACACAGGTTGCTTGCTTTATCATTGTTAATATTTCCAGTTGTTACAAAACCGTGTGGATGTGAACTTTACGAATGAGCATGGTAACTCACCGCTGCATTATGCATGCTTTTGGGGTTACAATGCGATTGCTGAGGACTTGGTGCTTGCTGGAGCGCTTGTCTCTCTTGCTAATAAAGATGGGGACACGCCCCTTGAGAAGACTCGAGGACAACTGGTCCAGAGGTAATTGTATGTTTTAAGTAATTGAATAACAAAGCAAAGCCTAAGTAATTATTAGAATAATAAGGGTTTCTTACTTAGTAATATTATACCATAAATGATAAGATTAAATGCTATTTTATTTTATTTATTTATTTAAATAAGAAGGCTAGATGGATGAAAGGATGAATGGATGAAAAAATATTTGTTAGAGTTTGTAGCCTTAACTGTTGAATGGATCTTGATGAAATTCGTCATAGATTTGCGCGGATGCAGTCGCGGGCAAAAGCTAGTGTTTTAATTATTCTCACATTTACGTTTGTTTAAATCTTTGTAATTTCATTTTGTCTCTGTTGTAAAATTATTATTTTTTGTAAATTCTTGTTGCCGTTTCTTCATATCTTTTTGGGTTCCAAGTTCTAATAAGAACTATAATTACAGATTGCATGAAATGGCAGTTCAGCATGGCCAGGATCTGAAGAAGATCCAGTTCAAGGATCAGTCGTGGCTGGGCTTGAAGACCAGGAGTCGTGACGCGACACTCTCGCGACATAAAGGCATCAATATTAATGAGTTGGCACTTCATACGAGAATTGCTGTTACACCTTCGGGTAAGATAATATTTTAATGTGAAATATTTAGGAAGGCAATGTACATGGCTTATGTCCAATGGTCTGATATAAGATAATGGTTATGATGAATTGATGGACACATTACTAAGTTCACCATTACAGTAAATTAAAAAAAACAAAAGTGAGTAACCTGTGTTCTTCCAGACTATTCTACATCTGTGCCAGATTTCATCGAGATTAGTTCAGCTATTTAGACGACAGACTGTATCCATCCATCAATCTAAACTTTCGCATTTTTAATATATTTACTATTACTATTGCCATTTATTTTCTAAATATATACAACTATTTGCGATTTTTAATCTTAAGTAAATTTTAATTCTTACTTTGGGAATGTATAACATTTGGTGTACTTAAAACATAGCTAATACAAAATTTAAACTTAACATTAGCTTGTAGTTTATTTGAAGTATATGTCTCCTCAGTTTGATTTTAAATGGGCTCTTTTGAGTGGGGTAAAAAGTGAATATTAGTGTCCATGATAAGATTGGTCTGTTTTGAGTGGGGTATAAAGTGTGAATATCAGTGTACATGGTATTGTGAGCAGGGGAGACGTGGCGCGGCCGTTGGCAGAAGAACGACATCGTGGCGAAGATAATCGCGGTGCGCGAGTGCTCCCCGCGCGTGCAGCGAGACTTCAACGAGGAGTTCCCCAAGCTGCGCATCTTCTCACACCCCAACATACTGCCCGTTGTAAGTTACTTCTTACTATTTTTTTTATATCGGTGGAAAACGATCAAGCGGCCATCTGAATCTGCCACATTTACAATAGCGAATACATGAACAGGATATTTTCCCTTCCTATGCGTCTCCTCAACTATCAAGTCCATGTCCCCACAAGGGTGGGAACATGGACTGATCTGACCTGATATCCTACCCTTTTTCTCATAAGATAAGGATCATAGATAAGGATCTTATGAGAAAAAGGGTAGAATGGAAAAGGGAATTAAGTTGGGCTGCACTACACTCATCTAACGAACCGCGGCATTGCTTCCACTTGACGGCTGTCTTCTGTGTGGTCGTGGTATTTCACCAGGTGAACCGACCCATTCTTGCGAAGATGTTAAAGCGGGCTCTACCACTGTTACTAGCTTTCGCCCGCGATTCTGCCGGCGTGAAACTTTTTATTGCTGCAAGAATTTTTAAAATCGACCCATTAGATTTCAGTTTTTTCCATACATGCAAAAATACAAATCTTTTCTCTTTATTAGTATAAAAATATGAGTGTTTAAACGGTCAGTTACTGGTATTGTGTGCAGGTGGGTTGTTGCGTGTCTCCGCCATCGCTGGTGGTGATATCGCAGCACATGTCGTGGGGCTCGCTGTACAGCCTGCTGCATGGGGGCGGGGGCGGGGGCGGCGGGGGCGGGCGGGGCGGGGTGGTGGTGGACGCGGGCGCGGCGCTGCGCCTGGCGCGCGACGCCGCCGCCGGCATGGCCTATCTGCACTCGCTGCAGAGAGACCGCGCTCTGCCCACCTACCATCTTAACAGTCGTCATGTTATGGTAAGTCGAAGTAGTCAGCCTCCAAGAAGGTCACCCCCCAGTATTAAAATGTAATTTTTTTAACTAAAACTATTGTGACAAGTCCATATTGTTACTAGCTGCCCCAACACCCTTGAAGACAATGTGCGTTACCAAAGGAAGGGCACCCCCAAGTATAAAATTGAATTTTATTTAACTAAAACTATTATGAATGAGACAATATTAATACTAGCTGCCAACCCCCTTTAAAGACCAAGCCTAGAATTAAATTAATCTTTGGAAGTTTTGGCAGTTCATCTAAAGAACTACAAACTATGTTATACCAGATAGACATTTTATTAATAATGTTGGTCACATCAGTTATGATTTTTTTTTCTACAATGGTTTAATTGAACTGGAAACATTTAACCGACAAATTTATAGGACATTGCATTCAAAACAATACGATAAGTTAATTAAATGTTCAATTGTATCAAAAATAATAAAGGTAATTTCTTAATCTCTTTCCAATAATGTAACTTTCAGTTCAAATCAATGTACATTTCGTTCGCAGATAGACGAGGACCTGACGGCCCGCATCAACATGGCGGACTCGAAGTTCTCGTTCCAGGAGCGCGGGCGCGTGTACTCGCCGGCGTGGATGTCGCCCGAGGCGCTGCTGAAGCCCGCCGCCAAGCGCAACTGGGAGGCCGCCGACATGTGGAGCTTCGCCGTGCTGCTGTGGGAGCTCGCCACCAGGGAGGTCCGTCCTCACTACTATTGTCGTAGCTATCATATCATCGTTGTAGCTATCATATCACCGTTGTAGCTATCGTATTATCATCGTAACTACCATCACATCATCATTGTAATTATCATCTCAACATTATTGTCTCAACCATCTCATAATTGTAATCATCATCTCATCATCATTGTCACTATCATTTCATCATCATTGTTACTACCATTTAATCATCATTGTCACTATCACCTTAGCATCATTGTCACTGTCATTTCATCATCATTGTCACTATCATTTCTGCATCATTGTCACTCTATTCATCTTCATTGTCACTATCATTTCATCATCATTGTCACTACCATTTAATCATTATTGTCACTATCACCTTAGCATCATTGTCACTGTCATTTCATCATCATTGTCACTATCATTTCTGCATCATTGTCACTCTATTTATCGTCATTGTCACTATCATTTCATCATCATTGTCACTATCATTTCATCATCATTGTTATTATCATCACAGCATCATTGTTACTAACATATCATCATAACTATCATGTCAGCACAGCCAAAGGATTATTGCATCATAGTTGTGTCATCATTGTCAAAACTATAATTTCGTAATCATTATCATAACCTATTTTGTACATTGGTACAAAATACAAAGTTATTATATAATCATTGTTAAATTATTATTTTATCATCATTGTTACAATTGTTGTTAATATCATTGTTAAGGTCAACAACAACTACAACTCCTTAGATATCACATTATAATTCTTGTGAATCATTTAATTAACTATCCAAAAATTACTACGTTTACTAGTAAAGACCTGCAACAGCTAAAAGTATTGTATAGTTTCGTTCAGTTTGATCTGATAAAGATGTAATGACTTTTAATGATTAAAATACTTTATTTGGTAATTTAGGTACCATTTGCGGATTTATCGCCTATGGAGTGCGGTATGAAGATAGCTCTGGAAGGTCTGCGCGTTAGTATCCCGCCCGGCGTGTCGCCGCACATCGCCAAGTTGATCAATATTTGTATGAACGAGGACCCCGGCAAGCGGCCCTCCTTCGATATGGTGCTGCCCATACTCGAGAAGATGAAACGATAAAAAAAATGTCTATGGTCGCAAATCGTAACGCAATGATAGGGTTGCCAGTAACAATAATCAAATTAATTTAAAGAACCTCTAACAGTGATTGGTAAAACTAAAGTTCTTTGAATGTAAACGATTTATCAAAGTACAACGTAAAAATAAAGTTTATACTCTGTGGTAAAATTAACACATTAAAAAACAAATGTTATTAATTAATGCACATGTTATATGAAGTTCTATGTTTTTTAATGTAAATTAAATACGCTATGAAGTGCCATTTTTTACAGGTTTTTGACTATGATATATGCAAGTTATAGACATACAATATTTTTTTAAATACAGTGGACATGGAAATTATACCAACTGTTTTAAATCCTATTTATTTTAGCATTATTATAAGTTCTGGCCATTTATGTCCCAAAGTATATTGCATTACAATTTTTTATTATTAAAATATGCATTGAATAAAATACAATGCCTTAGTATGATGGTTTTAATATGATGCTAAAATAAAAAGGTTTTTTTTTTTTATTTCGAAACTGCCAGTATTTAATTGTTGTTTAGTACTAAGGTTGTGTTTCTAACTTTTGTCTTGTGAAATTCTTAATTTTAGCAGTAAAATAGGTGCTAAATTGCCTAAATTAAATGTTGCCCTATAGCAGACATGAAGCAATGCATGAAATAAATGTATTTAACATAGATGTGTAAAGTATTTACCAATTTAGGTTAAAAAATATTTAAAAATACTAATTTTATAACTTATAGGTAAAGAATCTCCAAGCCAATCAGATTGTTTTATGATTTTTTTATACTTGATGTTTTCTTTTATAAGCTTTTGCGGTTAGTCTTATTAATTACTATTGACTTCTTTTTTAAACTCCCAATACATTTAAGAATAAAAAGTGCCTTATGCTTTACTTGTAATGAATATGCCTTATAATAAATGGTAAATAAATATGATGAAATATTATTTTTGATGTGAAATGTTAAATATACTAACAAATTATTAATTTCCGTTTTTTATTTTCCATATACAAAAACCCTTCACACAGAACCAATGAAAATTTAAAGCCATTCTAATCTATACTTCTATACTATATATATCTATATCTATACTATTATAATAAAGAGCAAACACACACTTCTTTTTTGCCTAAGATGTCAGCAATTACAGCATTTTTGCAATAGTTATTTTTTAATAAAAATCCCTACACTAGTGTCACGCTTTAGGCTATATATCTTAAGGCCATTAAACTTAGGGGGTAAGTATTTTGGATCAAAACCCTAATATGGGTTGACCATAAGTTGTTGCCAACATCAAAGAAGCAAGGTTGTCATTATGTCATGTCATTTTGACATTTGTTATTGATAATTTGACAAATGTAAACAATAAAATAAAATTTTTATAATTTCATGCGGATGAAGTCGCGCGGGAACAGCTAGTATTTCATAGATTTTAAATCGTCCCAAATAATAAATCCCACTGGGCCGACCGGCTGAATAGAATCGGATTTATCAAATCATCCAGAGATCATCTTCACACCATCATCATCGCAATTGTGTGTACCAATACTTGAAGTGTAGCAGTCTTATCGTCTTATCGTCTTATCATAAATAGCGACAGTGGTGACACGACATGTCTGTTATATAAGTTGATCGCTTTTCATAAATAGAAAAAAAATTGTCTATGCTTAATGACATTTGTACTTGTCATAGATTGTGACATTCTATCAATGTCAATTGACAATTCATAAACTTGGAATGAGTGACATTTTATTGTTTTTTTAAGTTAATTAAATGCGAATAATACCATATAATTTAAAGTACTTACGATAAGCATGCATATTGTTGAATATAGTCACTGATACCTTCTTTGGAAAAGTGAATTAAAAAAATGGAATCAACTTCCCAGTCAGATGCAAACGCATTACCAAGAATAACCGATGTGGAATGGAAGTTAGAAGCTCTAACGAACACGCCCGGAGTTGGTTCAGATAAATTACTATACAGTGTTATCTTGAAGACTGATAAAGACGATGTTAACTTCACCTGTGATACTCAACAATTACAAGATCTTGTGTACAAATTGAAAGACTTGGTGCGACACTGTGAGAATGTTAAAAGTGAATTGACTTGAATGTGTTATTACGAACGTTATGAGTCCAATATAACATTTAAGTATATAGCACCAAATAATGGGACATATATTAGTTTGGTTTTGTTTATGAATCTGTTATTAAAATATTATTATTATAAAGATAATGTTATAATAACCAATTAATATTTATGCTATATTCAATAAATTTTGTGATTAAGTTTTTTTTTGTGTACATATTAAAAGTAATTTATTAATTTAAACTTTGATTTTCAAGTACACTTTTGCTAATAACCTAAGTATAAAAATTAAGTTTTTTATCTTCTTTAGTGGCTTCTAGTGGTAGATTTTTAATTAAATTATTCTAATTGAACTGTAGTGTTGTTTTTATTGTGAAATAAAAAGAATCAAAACTGTATTTAAAATAACTTTATTAAAAATACATCCATAAAGAATGAACACACAAACATATGTTCAAAAACAATTCCATTGCACAAAACAAAAAAATACATCACAGATAACTAAAAATGAACTACTTGTGAGAAAGCTGCATTCAATTATATACCTTATCATAATGTTAGCTTCTTGAGACTCAAACACTTAAAAGGTAATGTCATATTTATCTTAACATATCACAATATAAACAACTACTCTACAATATGGAGAACAGTTTAAGATTAAATTGTCAGACTTAATTAAATAGATTTGGACAGAAAAGTTTTTTTTTTTAATTCTTGTTAGGCCTTGCCAGGCAATGAATGTTATCCACAATTTATGGTAACCAGTTTTTATAAAAATATTGCTTTCTTTGAATGTATTCATGGAAAAATTGTTGCTCCTATATTTTCTGTCTAATATTTTCTTTACATTTCCTGTTTATCATTTAAACCAATTTAAATATTTTATAATACTACTATTACAATTCTTAATGTATTGGGTAAAGATGAAGTCTTTAATATGAAATCTTTTAAAACCATAGACTTTTCTTTTTTTTAATCATAAAAGACATGATACATTTTTCATTAAGGCATTTAACAACTACAAGCTACAACTACTTTCACTATATCATTACAGAATATTTAATAGTATTTTAAACCTACAATATCTAGTATAATAACTGCCAATATTAATATACAAACAAAAAAAAAAACTATGAAATTTTGGAAACTTGTGGATTTCTAAAGGAATCTATTTTTAATACAGTAAATTGAGATGCTGGATAGTATAGAAAACAGACATTTTATAAATTTATTTGCGTAAATAAAATACAGCAAGCAATATTGTTGGCAGTGAATTTGATAATGGCCAGTCTTATTGCAAAATTTAATAAAAAGTTGCCCATATCCAGTCCAATATATAAGACCATTTTGCAATTATTTAATAACATCAACTGAAAAACGATTACATTTAAACACAAAAACTCATATTGTAGGAAAAAAATATCACAAAACAATCAATACTTATATGGTTCCAGGATAAAAGGACTTGGAAATCATAACAAATTGCTACACATATTAAATTAAACTTAATACAATATTAAAAATGAATTTTGGTACAACACTGGTATTTTCAAAGCATAAAATGTCTACAATATAGTTAATACATTTTACGACACAAAAACATTTATAAGTCACTTGCAAGACACTCATTGTGATACGTTTTTAATATTATCAACACACACCTAATATAAAAAGGAACAGTAAAAATTATTAAAAATAATAGTAAGATCGCAAAGACGTTTATTTCTTTTTTCGTCGTGGCCAAAAGCCTTGTAGCTAATGCTACCAAACTCAACGACTATAAATTCCCTGTTTATTTTTTTTAACAAATCGAAGAATTTATTAGCTGCCTGTACTTTTCATTTTGAAACTTTTTTCTCATCTAATACCAACTTGAATCCATTACAAAGACCATTATGGACGATTTGGAATAGTGCATTCAAATAGATGAGTTTATTGAGTTTATGCCGTACCGCGATAGACACAGAGGTCATTTTCCGTTGTGATTTAGAGCGAGAAGAACTTGAGGAAGGCTGCGGGCGGCACGGGGTGCGGCGGCAGCGGCCCGCCCGCCTCCTTCAAGCGTTCGCGGTACTCCGGACACTAAAATATCAGATATTATTTTTAAAAAAATGTAAATTAAAATAATAAAATGGAGTTATATGAAGTGAGAATGTGTGTGAGATGTGTGACCTGGTCTGCGATGCAGGGATGTCCGAGGGAGCGCCAGAAGAGGCACTTGCAGTGGCGGCACAGGGACAATGTCTCTGCAAACTGCACCTCCTCGCGCAGACCGTACAGCCTACATAGATAATGCAAACTCAATACACATTAATCTATAAATCACAGATTATATTAACTACTGCTCCGTAAGAACGTCGAGTAAGTTATGTACATATGAAATTTGAAAATCACAGTACATGACCGGATTCGAACCCAACACCTGTAATTACTTGTGATTACAAGTCTATATACTAAATACTTATGTTCATACATGGAATTAGTGATTCAAAGATATGTGTGAAGTCAACCAACCCACAGTGGGTCAGTGTGGTCGACTATGGCCTAGTCACTACCAAGGGTAGGCTGCGAGCCTCTCAGTGTGGACGTATAGTGAGCTGGTGATGATAATATTAGCTTACATTAGGGCAAGAAGTAAAATTAGTACAAAAATACTTATGTTCAATGGATGGTATAACGCGTTTCACGCGTCGTAGCCTGCTTACTTCCTGAGCTGGTGGAAGGTCTTCTTCCAGTCGACGTCGGTCTGTCCGGCGGCGAGCAGCGCGCCGAGCTGCTGCGGCGTGAAGTGGAACAGCACCAGCTCGCGCCACACGCGCCGCTCCGAGCACACGCCCGCCATCACGCTCCACGCGGACGACGCCGCCTTCGCACACACAACTGCTACATAGCTACTCACTCCTTGCCTACTTAATACACGTCTTCCATATCGCACTGTGAGACTGAGAAGTCAATACTAATAATGGGAGTCTAGACTAAAACAATTTGGCTAATTTAAGCAAGTTTAATTCGCAGAAGAACTTCGTGAATAAATGTTTATCATAGAAAAATTACCACATTATAATAATGTTCCTGGTTGTAAAATATCTAAAGATTACTCACATCTAAGTCCCTGTGATCAGATATCCGGAGCATTATCTCTCGGATGCACTCCTCTGGCATGTCGTGAAGTTTGGGCACCACCTCCGGCCCCGGCTGATGACAAATTCTCATCATATAAAGCTGTCTGTATCTACTAAATGTCGAACTGTGGCGCATAGCTTTCATTACTCCGAGGAGCTAAGGTGTCTTTTGCTTTTGTAGTTACCTCAGGTATACGTATGTCCTGTGCGATGCGCGTGATGCGTGCGATGGCGCGGTCGTGGTGCCGCCAGAGCGCGCGCGAGCCGAGCGGCCGGCCCCAGCAGGCGCGCCGCTCCGCCTCGCGCGCGCCGCCCAGCGCCGCCGCCAGCGCGCGCAGCGCCTCCGGATTGTGCTGCGACGTCGCCACTGCAACGCCACACAGACTTACCTCACTCAGACTATTACGACTGTGGTCGTTAATATTTAAACAATATACTTGCAGTTTTAGAGCGACGAGCGTTTTGTACTTTCGATTACAGGATGATTTTTAACGGACGGATCAACGGCTTTGTGGAGGTAGAGGACCTTAATAGCTATAATTTAAACGCAAAGTATGTTGCCCGATTTCCTATAATTTTAGTCACTTAATTAAAAAGAAAACAAAACCGTTGGTCCGTCCGATAAGAATTTAACTAACAACTAAAGTAATAACTAAAATGATAAATAAACAAATAAAAATGGTTTTTTAGCCTGAAAAGACCATAAGACTATAATAACCAACCCAATGAAAACTAGCAGTCGTATTCATCTCTAGAAATTCTCTTCAACTATTGTATAGCATACGTACTCACCGTGATCGGCTAATTGTTCCAACATGGATAGCAACAGTTTCTGCGCGGCGCCGGGCAGGTGCGTCAGTCTTTGTCCGCCCAGGAGTAGCTCGAGGAGCGCGCAGATGTAATTAAAGCGGCGAACATCGCGCACAGCTGATGAGAAATCCAGTCGCCGAACCGCTTCTGACAGACCGTTGAAACCTGCGATCTGAGAACACATAGATAGCATATAAATAGATACACTTGACTATCACAATACATGTTACAAATGGACCCCAAATTCCGCTCGTCTTTTATTTTACCCCCTTGTCTAGTGCAAAAAGGTTGCAAACGGATTTATAATGACTTGCATATTTTACTGCAAGTTATAAATGCTGGTTGCTTTTGCCTTATTTAAAAATATTGATGAGTGATTCTGTTTTTCATAAACATGCGGTCGCCAGTGGTCATGAATCTATCAGTCATAATATGATATATTTATATTTCTTAAACGAAGACACTGGTGTACACAAAATCTCTGATTCAATGTGTTGACTTTCTACTGAATAGTAGAAAAAGATAATTACCTCTCTGGTGCATTTAATAGTGATGTGACAATGCGGAGGGATTCGGGCCACTGTATCTGATGTGTTTTTGTCACCTTCTCCTTCTTGCATCCTAAAAAAAACACAATTATAAATCCACAAGATAAATACAAAAAATGTAGAGTATAAACTCTAAAATCATAACATTCGTTACTAATCTGCGTAGATCATGGATAAAACAATATCCATAAATAAGTGACCCTTCCTTCCCTTTATCAGTGACATTTAATCAAGAAAATAGCTTCAACCTTTTGTACGGGAGTGACTGATTGGACTGATATATATTGAGGTGTGGTCTGACCACGCCTGTCACTGTTTTCTTAACAAAGTGCTAGGACGTCAGCAATCACCCACTGTTCAAGGACAGTGTAAAGTCAATTCTCATTTTCTCTTTAATTTTAGTCCTCACGGAATGTAGGTTGAGGCATTTTTAATTTATTTATGAGTCAACTTATCGTGTGCAGGATATTAGAAAGCATTTAATTACTAAACGTAAAAAATGCTCGTAGTTTTAGAGGATGAGAAAGCGGGTTCTATTTTAGGATTCGAGTCGGGCTTTAATGGCTGTCGCTGAAGTAGAAAATGAGAGGACAATAAAAAAGAACATGTCGCCCATTTCACTGAAAGCTTTCGTTGGCATTTGTAATGTGGAAAGGATCAAAGAGGGTTCATCTTGTTTCACCTTAAAAGGTAAATTTATGGCGAAATTCTAAAAATATTTTTTATGTACTACAAATTGCTTAACTTTATTTTTTTACTTATTAACTTAAGCTTAAACTTTGATGTTTAAAGTAGAAGAGTTTCATCAGTACAGATAAGATAATTTTCATTGGTCGTTAACTAAATAAAGTTGGCCAAAAGCCAAGACGTCGCGTCGCATCCCTTTGCTGATGCAACTGCGTTTTACTTTTAACAGGGCCCAATTATTTTTAACGTAATTATAAATTCGGCCTGAAAAACAAAATACACGCGAACGCGTCTTGTAATCTGATTAATTAAATGCGTGTATTTTCACTTCCTGTATAATTTTAACTGGAACATATGACATCGAGAGCTTGGTAGATTAAAATATGAAAATCGTATTGAAACGTATACCGTATGACCTAGTTGCTTTTGCCTTTACAGCGGTTGAATAGAAAAAATGAAATAATATAGGTTACGTATTTTACTTTTTAAGAGCGTTCCATTTTAAATGAACTGATTAATGTTATTGTATACAAGTTATTAGCTATTTTAATATTTTTTGATCTTAATATACCATAACTTTTCTTAAAAAAAAAAAAGATTAAGTATGCCCTATTATAGATTACTATACGCTGATCCGAATCTTAGTCGGGAAATTTCTATATATCAAAACTACATTTATAATGTAAGATTTGTTCGTGCTCCCGACTACGTTTATAATTCCCTTCGTATGCAAATTAGTTCTCTCGGAACAGGAAGTATTCGAGACGTGTGGAGTACCGAGCCGTACTTCAGAACGTCAGATTAAAAATGACAACCTGACAGGGAGGGAAGTGGCGTTTGAATAGAATTTTATGAATTATGTGATCAAAAAACAATTGTAAACTCAGCAATTTTTAAATAAACACTCATTATACACTTGGCGACTCTCTTAGTAATTATTCACATTTATTTAATTATTTTAGAAAATTGTGTCTTTAGTAAAAATACATTTCATTAAGGGCCTGCCCCACTGTCTTATGGCTCAGATAGCTTACATAACGTCACTGACAGATAAAGTAACAAAATCCGATATTTCAATCATATATTTTACACGGTTTGTTATCAGACAATTTAGTGGGACAGTCTCTAAATGTTTTAAATTCAGCACTAGTGGAAATGAGGTTTTATGACATAAGAAATAACAGACCTACTCTATTACAGTAGAGTATGTAGTTAATTACTTATCTTGAATCAGTATATCGATTTTCATTTCGCTTTCACTTTCGTTGTAAAAAGAAAAACGACAAAATGTTGCCATGATTTAAAACTTTCACCTAATTTACACGATCTGTAGTTGACATTGTCTATTTCGGTACAATTATTGTCATTAGAAAGTTTATAGCGTCTATAATTTTATACACACAAGAGGACCGAAGATAAAAGTTACTTTCGTAACAAATTGAAATATTCATAATAAAATAAAATACAGGGTCTGCGCATTGCATTTAATATAAACAACGTCTAACAGTGCACGGTTAAGGTATTACAAGATTCAAACAATATGACTGCTTTTGTTGTAAACATCTTCGTTGGTTATTACTAGCACAGATTGGTCTACTGCAATTAATAGAAAGCAGGTTTCCACGCTTTCATATCCGCTTATATCCTCTGCTGATTATTATATTGTGTGGCGTCTTCAAAATTGCGAGCCGCTATAACATTTGAATCGTGTAATACATAAGGTCGTTGGTCTTGTTTTGTGCTGCCATTGTTCATTGTTCCATACAGATGTACTTAAACGTATCTTAAACGAAGCGTCTCCAGATAAATGTTTAAGTTATATATAGCAAAATAAATACTCTGAATGTCCAATAATCCGTTTTACTTCCTATAGGTAACAGTGGTAGAGCCCCCTTTAACATCTTCGCAAGAATGGGTCGGCTCGCCCGGTGCAATACCACAACCACATAGAAAACAGGCGTGAAGTGAAAGCAATTACGCGTTTCGTCTGATGAGTGTGGTGCCGGAGGCTTAATTTTGGTCCCTTTCCCTTTCCACCTTTTTCTTAAGAGGAAAGGATGGGAAGGAAAAGTAGACTTGACGGTGGAGGAGACCCATAGGAAGGAAAAATGTCCTCTTTATATGCATCTCGTTCTCCGTCAATTAAGGGTAGGTAACGCATCTGCAATCGCGGATGTTTATGAGCAGCGGTCGCTTTCCATTTCGGTGGATTCAGTTGGCCGCTTGATCGTGCCACCACATATTATAAAAAAAAGACCCATCCAACCAAGGATAGGATGGCTGTTTAAACTAATGTAAGTTTTTACTTTCGTATGTTAAATATTGTTTCAAAACTATGACTTAATTTCCAATCGTTTGATGTTACTTGCATGCTCCAGTGTAAACGCAATAAATTCTTTACAAAAATGGATTACGTCTTAATCTTTAATCCGTAAACTTTCGTGACGAGATTTCACGACCAATTACATTCGTGTATTGCATTTCTCAACGCTCTTGTAGCAATATACTTCAACCAGTAGAGATGATCTCTACACCATATTTTAACTAGTACTAGTCCGTATAACAAAGGAAGAAATGTGTGTCTTCTAAGATTGGTCGGTACAGCGATTTGCAGGTCGTTCACATTTTAGATTTGCAACGTCTTGCAAATTGAACTGTGAATGATCACGTTTCGTTTAACGAAATGATTTCCATTGCAAATACGGTTTGGTTAGTGAAATTATTTTACGTGAGATTCCGATATTGATGACTAGTACAATTGAATCCAATAATCGGTGACGCCTCATTTATCTTTAGAACCCAATAGCAATCGAAAATCCGTTGTTTGTCGATCTTAAAGATATTGTTTTGATTCTGGCTGTTAAGATAGATTCTCACTGTTTGATTTGAAGTGTTTTTATCAATTCTCTATTTAAACTTCAATTTAGAAATAAGATGAGTTTTATTGCATATTCCAGAACTCATCACATTATACGAGAATAAAAGCAGATATATCAAATGAGATTCAAATTCCCTAGTTTAATATATTCATAGAAAAGTTATCTAACTGCAGCAATGCAATGTTCCGCTACGTCCATTACTGGGGAATAAAATATTAAAGCGAATTTTAAATCTTAAAATCCTGTAGAATTTAAATAACAGATGTCTCTATAAATTGCAAAACAAAACTTTTATAATAATAAAGAAGACATCTTTGAAAATATTTAATCTGTAACATTTTTTAAACATGTCATTTGTTTGAAGAATATGACAGTTGAAGGATGCAACCGCTTCACAAGACACGAGTGTCATAAGTGCTCGCAGGCGCGCAGGAACTCTCCATAATAAACAACCAGCACACATATACTAGGACAAATGTGTTGTACAGAATACCTACGAATGCGTATTACAAACTTAAAATAGGGTTACTGTATTTGTAATTTGCACTTTTACTCCTTGATCATAAGATTGATTTTACATTATTTAAAGTAAGATCAACGTTTCCGTGCGTATTAATAAACTCAAAGAACAGAGAGTTATTTGTGCGAAGTATAATCCAACACGTCTTGTGTTGAGCACGGTAATGCAAACCGTTGTTGACCCAAAGGCGGAAATAAATTATTCGCATCTGGAATAATTCAGTCGTCTTTAACATGTATAAAATTTGCTTAAAATCAACTACCTACCAGTTGAGCACCATTAACCTCAATCAATCTAAAAGGTCAATGAATTCTTAATCTATGCCAAAAATAGTTTCATCAAGCAATTTCTTAAAAATAACCTATTTATTTTTTTAAATCGAAAACTGAAAATAATTACACCTAAAGTCTATTTTATAAAACTTAATTTCAACACAAAAAACTTCAGATCTTTGACGCGTCTAATTCAAAGATTATAAATCAGTTTTCCCGCCAAACGATAAATCGTCAAAGACTAGACACGCTGTCTGTTATCGAATTTTACTTTCGTAACAACGTAAACAAAGCATGAATCACTACGTTTATTCGTGTTGCCATTGCCACTGTGCGAGTCGAGATAAATAATCGCGAGAATTAATTTTCGTGACTAATTTCTCTAAATGCTTAGTGGTTACATTCCAATTAATGTAATCACTGTATTTTACCGTTTGTCTGTCTTGAACTTTTGTCTCCCATATTTAAGACCATGTTCAATAATACTTCACAAAATATGTAAAATTTTCAACGCAATATACAACTAGAGGCGAAAGAAATGAAACAATATTTAATTTCACACAAAAGTCATGGACATGGCATTCTAACGAAACGACTCCGTCGTCCGCCGGGAAAACAGCAGCAGAAAGCGCACGTTAATAAATGTTACTACAATAATTTGCCCTATTTATAATGCTATTTGTAATTAGAACAATATTGTTCTATTTTCAATTAC